AGTTTTTTTTCCAAATATCAATTCGTTTTATAATGTGAATCATCTGAACAAAGCCTATAATAAAAAAATCCATCATCATTATCCATAATTGCCTCAGCAACCTGCAATAAACTGCTTTTCGTATTGACAATCGTTTAATTCAAACCAGACAATGATATTATTATGTCATTAGATACAGAAGACACGATGTTGTTGCTAAGATATGGTAAGAATATAACTCAGATTTAAGTACAAATGATTCGCTTTATGAGTTTACACTTAAACTCGACAAGAAATAGAACAATTCAACTTTTGTTAAATATCCGTTGGGAGCAGGATTCTTATGGCGAAAAAAAAATGGAAAATTAAGAAGAAAACAAATCCATTTATCTTGACAAACGATACCCCAAACGAGTGATAGAGACTAAAAAGGTTATTAATGAAAAAAAAATGCTATAATTATTAACTGATCATTGTGATTTTTCGTCCTTTCATAACATTTAAGCAACTATTTTTATCATTATTTCAACCGAGAGACGCCGGTCATTTCAACGGTCCTGCGCCTCCCGTTTCCTATTTTAAATTATTATTAATTCAATAACGACCAAAACACTTAAATTTACCGGTTTGTTTAACAACAACAATGCTCAACTCTAATTTCGCGCACAGTAACAATAATTAAAAAATATAACGTCACGTTTTCCGCGATAAATACGCGCGCAGCAACACAGCCACTGCGTATGACCACGTTTTCTTAACTGAAGATGAAGAACCTCACGTATGTGTGGCCATTATAAACTGTAACATAGCTTTATTATTTACGTCTGATAAGCCTAGCAGTAGTAGAACCACAGAGTATGCTAGCAGCATATGAAAAATCCGTTCACTTTTTTCTTTTTCTTAAAATATGTACACAACATGTTGTTTTGTTAGCCTTAAAATGGAAATTGCAGGATGCCAGCAACACCAGAGTTATTGACATCCTGCAATTGTCGTCTATTCAATGAGAAGGACAATTTGACTCTCTTGCAAGCGATGTTCATTTATAGAAGTCTATATTATGCACCAACCGCACTGTAATAGTCCAAAGAAAACCTTCTATGTATACTATAAACACTCTATTTTCTCAATAAATAAAGCACACCCTTGCTAGTAAAATCTGTTAAATGACAACTTTAACAAAAATAAGTTAAATATACCATTCGATAGAAAATTTGAACCAGCCCTGCGATTCTGTAAAAATCTCAGATATTCGAATTCACTACAAAAAGCGGCATCCGCTCAATCTTGAATTGGTAATAACGATTCGTGGCATAAGTGAAGTGAGTTTCGAAATGATATAGGAATAGAATATCTGAGAGACGTATTATAATCATTCGATTTGGTTTTGTATTTTTATACAAAAAATGAAATCAATAGAATTTCTTCACGTGATTTCGGATACATGAGTGAATTCAAATTCGAGTTTGGTTTTTTACAGAATCGCGGGACTGCACCGCGGGACGATATTGGTAAAACCTATTTTGTTTTGTAAAAATTATCATTTAACAGATTTTACCAGCATGAGTGCGAAATAATCATAAAATTTTTTGATGTCTGTGTGATTTCACATATTATCTTTAAATGTATGCTGTGTCACCTCTTAATCTTTAAACTATTCAATGCGAAGGACAAAGAAAAGGTACCTATTCTAAATAATTGTTTTCAATTCTTGAACTAATGGAGGAGCTGAATAATTCTTATAATCACACGCCTCTCTTAAAATAATATAGGTGATTGTAATTAAAAAAAGCACCAATAATAAATTTATTGGATTAAGAAAGTGCACAAAGGTATTTTACATACGCACCGTCTTCCGTCTAAAATGAACACATGTATTTCTTATCCATCTCTATCTATTAGTAATTTTGAAAATTGATGTAATCTGTGGAGAAATCGGTGGACCGAAAACGGAGATAAAATAACATAAGTATATTACCTTTTTAATCCTTTTCAATCTTGAAGTCCGTTAAAAAGTAATAATTTATAAATTACCTCTCAATAAATTACCAAAAACCCTTTTTTATTTGTTGCAGACATAAGACCAGTATGGGATTTTAAACGAACAAATTTATTTGAGTTAAGTAAAAACTTGTATGATATGCCCACAATTCTCACATATTCTTGGAGTTAGTGGCGTAGCAACTAATGGCGTGAAAGTCGGCATGAAATTTGATAATATTTATTCATTAAAATTTATTACCCACTATAAATATGTATATATTTATTTAGAAGTTTCAGAATTGCTTACATCATAGTATATCTAAGTAGATATTTATTAATTTCAGGAAAAGATAGATAGATCCCCACACCATAATATAATGTGCGACCTGTAAGTTGAACCAAAACGGCGATTTCAATCGCAGGTTCCGATCTCCAGTATACTGCGTTGCTGTCGTTACATGCTGCGTTTTGGCCCCCCTCTTTTTTAGGTTAGGTAATAAAATTCATACCTGTTGACCCTTACGGACCCGCCTCCGTTACGAGGGCAAGTCTAAAAGCAGGGGCAAACCCGCTAACACCTAGCGATGTCTCTCTCCATGAAAGTGACGCACGGGGACAGCCCAGCAATAACCACCTCTCGTACCGGAGTCAATAGATACACGAAAATGTGCAAACTACTGTGCAGTTGCCATTTTGATTAAACTTACTTGCCGTGCATTATGTATTACCTAAATATAAATAATGCCATGTGGTGTTTGAGCAATCTGATAAAAATACATTACATAGGACGCGGAGAATAAAGAATAAACATAGAAGGGCTGCAATAATTCATAAAGCCAAATACATCACTGCAACTAATGTCGTAAGCTTAGTATGTGGTTTCTGTAAAGAATAACCTCGTACCTAAAATTCTTAAATTTCTTAGAACTTCAGAATGTATTTTATGAAATTATCTCTTTTAGTATCATTTAATTATTTAATGTAAAATATATTAATTGAATCAAGTTTCATTTTTATTATTGTTGGAATGTTATTAGTAACTATATATCTCCTGTATGTAATGAAATATGGAACTATGGGTTTTTAAGTATAGTTTTTTGTTGTAATGAATTCTAATGGATTATAATAATTCCCGGATAATTTATAATAACATTATTGTAATGCCCGATTAACTAATTTGTCCATGATATATAAATCTATACAAATCACAACACACCAAGACTTTTAATTAACGGCCCGATAGAGTTTTTGACTTAATTTCAAAAGCCATAAAAACTGGTAAGTGTATATGAATTAGTTATGAGCGTCAAATAAGGAAAACATGGATATAATCCGTGTTTTTGCTACCCTCATTTTCTTTTAGCTCATTTTATTTTACACCACAAGTGATCTTAAGTGAAGATATAGATAGATAAATAGATAGATGGTTCACAGAAAAAAGGTAAAATAAAATAAAATATATTCAAAAATAATTAATATACTATAAAGCATACAAAAACATATCTTAAAGCTACGCTGAGTATTTTATACAAGAAATCAAAAATACGTTATAAGTATATAGTTCATTAAATCTAATCAAAGGTTTTTTTTTCTTTATAAAATATTTTTCTATTAAATTAGGTACAACGGTAACACGATTAAAAAAAATCTTATAATAATAACTATAGAAATATTACTTTCTCGGGTTCTATAGGTCTGTATTCAACTGGAGTCCTACTGCCTACACCAAAGCCATAGCCAAACCGATAGCGATAAGACATTTTTATTATTATTATCGATATATATGTTTATTTCTATTCATTTTTTTTTTAATATCAATGTATTTAACCAATGAATTTTGTTTCTTTTAGATAATAAATTACATTCATTAAAATTCAAATTATCTTAAATTCGACTATATTAAAAATCAAATTACAATCACATCAAAAAGATCAATTTAGGCTGATTGCACCTTAATAGCAGTTAAAGTGAAGGTTCAAGTCGAATTTGACAATAGCTGTCACGCTATAACATTAACTGCAGAATGAGCATAAGGTAAGATTGACTACAATGTGCTTAGCATAACAAAACACAAGAAACTCGAAAGACAGGTCGAGAGTGAGATATATACTCTATATCTACTCTACTCCCAATCCGTTCCACGAGTCTCTCGAGTTAGTCATGTGGTGCGTGCTAAACTGCAATTGAAATTAAACTTCGTATACGATGTTTTAGCACTTAAGTTTTCAATAACAACATATTTCTTAGGCAGCAGATAAAAACAATATACTTTCATTTAGCTATTTCCATGGCTGTGAATTTGAATTAGGTAGTCGAACCCCAGAGGCCTAAGACTGCTGAATTTCTCAGAAACTTGTCATTAATGCCGATTGTCATAACATGCGAAAGGTCGCGCATTATGACAATCGGCATTTTGATTCAACTTACAAGGGTAAGTTGAACCAAAATGCCGATTTTCCGCGCAGGTTCCGGTCGCCGTTGCTATGGTTACTCGCCACGGGTCACCCCCGCGCCTTGATAAAGACTCGAAAATATACTAATGTGCTGTTGCCATTTTGGTTCAATTTAGGTGCCGCGCCTTATACTATCACTGCTAAGTACGCATTTCTATTTTTTTCTGTGATAATTTCAAAATAATAATATTATAACTACCTCTTTTAATTTTTTTCAGGTACTCCTTAAAACAATCTTGTAATCATTTCAATTATTAACTTGAAGAACTTTTCTTGACTATTTCAAATGAGTATTGGGCTGCCAATAACCTTTAAAAAAAACTGAAGTTTGTTGATGTTGATGTAATATTGATCCTACGTTGCCATCCTAACAAAATAACATTTGAAACAAAGTTTCACTTAGATTTGTCTTCTCACTCTTAAGCCAATTAATTTTGAGTCAATAATAGAACTTGAAAGGTTTTTTAAATTGGACCCTGATGTAGTAATAGTTGATGAATGTCTGCTGTAGGTTTCATTAAAACTATTTAAAAACTTAACTACTCTTAGAACTATCATTATAAAACGTCATTAATAAGTTTTTGTTCATTTGTTGGGTTCTTCTTTTGGTGGATGGGCCCGGATGTACTCCAAAGCGCGAAGGATCGCCTCTGGAATGGGGGGTGGAGTTGGAAGATGTGAGCCCTGGAACCGAAAAAAAATATATTATTGTATAATCAGATAATTTAAAAATATATTTTTTTAAGATTTTAATTACTGTCATATCTTTAGTGACACTCGCAAGGTTAAGACGAAGCGATTGAGAATTTAGAATCATCAAAATTGGCCTACGCATTTGGTTTCTAGAACGCCATATAGAAACAAACATACATACATAGATAGACCGATAAACACATTACCCTCCCTTGCGTCGCGCAGTCGGGTAAAAACAAATGAACATTAATTCGAGCTATGGTCATTTCGTTATTTGATTATTAACTAAGGCGAAAGACGTTAAGGCCCTCTTGTACCACCGCTTACGTTCCCATACAAATATGCATCGCTCGCTTGATTTCATACTTTTTTAATCACAGAAAAAAATTCAGTTATAAAAACCTTTTATATATTTTAGATTATATTAAAAGCCTATTTTTGTATATATTTTTTTTTACAGTTAAGATGAAATATATTACTCGTAAAATCGACCCAAAAACGTATTTTAGGTCATCTTTCTGATTTTTTTCTATCGAACCAATCATTGAAATTATGCAATGAATCATATATTTAACTTTCATAACATATTTTTTTATTTGGCAAATATATTAGCATAGGCAATTATATTAGCAAAAAAAATTTTTTCAAAAAGTGGTAGTTTCGTACAACCATGCCAACGCCACGTTTATACGCATGCCATTTAGGTATACACAAAACGACATCCATTGTGGCTCGCCTGTTAACCGCTTTTGTGTGTACTTGTTGCGTAGGCTGTGTTACATCAATGAAATCAATGGAATAAGTTAAATTTTAGATAGGTATCCTATAGGGCATCCTACTAATTTTGAGAAAAAACAAAAAAACCTAAAATATAAAGATAGCAGCAATATTCAGTCTGAAAATGTTATAGTTCATAAGATAAAGAAATTAAGTTAAAAAAAATTCTGTGTACTTGTTGCGTAGGCTGTGTTACATCAATGGAATAAGTTAAATTTTAAATAGGCATCCTATAGGGCATCCTACAAATTATGAGAAAAAACCTAAAATATACAATTAAGATAGCAGCAATATTCAGTCTAAAAATGTTACAGTTCATAAGTTAAAGAAATTAAGTTTTAAATCCAAATCAGTTGTAAAAGGTTCTAGTCTGTGTTTTTATTAAGCGCATCAGAATTAATAACGTCAACTCAGAGCAACATGGCGAAATTTGAAAATGTTTAGTTTATACGTAAATATTTGGAAATTTTTCGTTTTTTATTAGAACCTAAGGATCGAACAGTAGTTACTTATATAGTAATAAAGTCAATATAGTGTACCTGAGGTTGGTATCCGTTCTCGTCGGCTACGTACTGCAGTTTGATAACCTCACCCTCTGGGGATGTCCACTGAGCCTCTCCCTGAGCTACCTGGGCAGCATTCTCCTGAAGTAGAAATATAATTTTATTAAGAAAACTACCGATGGCTTAGGTTGGATTGCACCATAATTACAATTAAAGTTTGTCTCAAATTTGATGATATCTGTCACGCTGACTAACATTGACTGTGGGATGCGTTGCACCATCCTCTTTCTTAGCAATCAATAAACACTTCCTATCTTTAAAATTAAATCAATCAATGTATTGGAGATATTATGGAAGCTTCTTATTCCTATCAAAGGTCTATCGATCCCATTTTGTGTACAGAATGCTTAGTGTAAGTTTTTATGATGTTTACATTCACTGTCGATCGTGAGCGCGTTAAGATTTTAGTATAGAATCCGGTACAGCGCCTCTAGCGGTTACTAACAAGAAGTATAAATCTCTATACAAATTCTTAACGCGCTCACTAGTGAACGCGTTAGCGTAAAACTTACACTTACCACTCTGTACAACTTTAGTTAAATTTCATCTGCTGCTTACTTGAGGCCAGAAATGTATAATTTTTCAGAACTCAGGACTTAAGAGATCATATTCTCAACTATAATCTGATGCTGCTGTATATAAAATTATCTTATAACCATTTTAGTAGTTTTACAGTAATACGTATTGATATCGAAGATAAATTTTAATGAGTAATATCAAATTACTGATAGCGCTTATGTTATACAAACTAGACTAAATCTAGGAGGTTTAGTTCTGTTAAATTGAAATATTTTAGAGATATATTAAATATTTTAGAGAATGGTACAACAGAATTAGTAACTAAGCACCGACATATGATTAGACAGATTTAATTCTACCCACACAAACTTCTACATAACATATTTGTTTTATAACTACATATTTCACACACATTTCGCATACCACAACTTCTTTAATTATTTTTATGTAATATACCATTGGTACCTCATATAATTTCCACCTGGTTAAAGATTGGAGAGGCTGGTTATCTATCACACAGTTCTACCAGTACAGACACCAGTCTTTTACATAGATTATTACAAAATTGTACTCTTCTACTTAGCTTTTAAGATGTTATTATGTAATGATATCTGTGTGAGAGAACAAATAGTTTTATTATTATTATAATAACTCGTTTAGGATAGAACTTTCGCAAGGGTCGGTTACGGGTCCATAAAAATATTATCCCGAGCTACTTTCTGCTACAAGAGGCACGTTAAGCAATTGATCCCGGCTTTATTAGCAGTCGTTTATACCACTGCAGTGGAGACATTAAAAAAAAGCTGATAATTATGTTGTATTAGATAAGAGTAGCTTACTGCTTGAGGATTGTTAAGTGCGCCATGCTCGTGCTGCGATATACCATTGTCCGTCTCTATTGCCCACTGGTACTGGCCTTCGAGACCTACATCCAGCTCCTGCTTCAGGATCTTAGCGTCACGATCACCGGAGCGTGATACTACGTGGGATACGTCCGCTGCCGCCAGGGCGAATGTAAAGATAATGAGGTACTTCTGTAAGAAAGTGTAAGTAAATCAGTTTCACGCATTTTTTTTAATAATTAATAAACATTACTCAGCACTATAATATTGATATTTTTTCTAGGCAGGCGAAGTCGCGGGGAAACAGGTAGTTTGATAGATATTGGTTTATAATTCAAGAAAAAATCGATGAACATACCTACTTTCATAAAAAAATATACATACTCCTTGAACATAGAAAATCCTCCTTTAGGATTTTGAACGAATTCAGAATACTATACATATCATCCAAATATTGAGGTGGTATCTGGTGAACAGCGTATTTTGTTATGTTATAAAAGAAAAACTACTGATTCTATTTCAACAAAATTTAAATAGGACCACCTCGGTCCGTTAAAATGTCAAATAAAAAAAATATTGTAAATCAGTTAACAATTGGTCAAAATATCGGATATAAAAAATACATACATCGTCGAACATATAACCTTTTTGGATTTTGAAATCGGTTAAAATTACAGCGTCGAGCCAGTCAAGTCCCAAGTAGCACATAAATAATATATTAACTAAAATAAGTACCGATTTATGTCCTAAAGTCATACTAACATTTTTAATCAGCACTGGTCAAGTTTCAATCTGTTTAAAGGCATTTATTTTATCTAATAATGCTTAATGCCATATTATGGTTAATAAAAAAAGTATACCAATGTCAAAACTCCTATTTAAGTATTGGGTAATATTAATATAAAGCTGTTATCGTATTTCGGTGATATGAAAAACATTATATATTATATAAGCATTAACGTAATATTATTTAGTGCACTTAGTTGTATTTAGTCATTTTCTAGAAACAAATGTTTTCTAATGGCCTATGGTTGTATTGATTTAATGCTTATCCTATATACACATTGAATAAAGAACTAGTAAAACTTTAGCATCGATTTGTTCTTAAAGTATTCTTTAATCAAGCTCAAGCTCCTTTATCTTCTTAATTTATGCTTTTATAAAACATTAGGCTATATTTTGATCAATATTAAGTTATTTATAGAGATACAAGTAATAAATAGATCGTAATTATTTTTTATGTGAAATTAAAATGTAAAATTATTTTATGTATTGTATTGTAATGGTGGCATTTTATACGCATCGATTGCGCCATGGACAAAAAACGTTGGGAAAAACAAAGAAAACAGGTGGATATAAAAGAAAACTGAAAAAAGAGTATACTAATTTAATTGAAACTTTTAAAAATCAAAATAAAAACGAAATAATCGTTTGATGATTATAAGCACTATAAGATACTTCTGAAGTGTTAAAATACGGCTGTACCTAAAATGGGAGTGTGTTATACGATGAATTACGAGCTCTTAGTTTTGTGTCTAACCATAATACGATTAACAGCTCTACTACACTATATTTGAATACCTAATGCTTTAATTTTACGAGTCGCCATTTGCTTTCTTTTTCCAATTCTTACAAAATATTTAAAGTCAACTGTGTCAGATGAAAAGGGGTAAATAGTCATTTATTTTGTGCACAGATGCCTATAAAAGCAATTATGTTGTTAAAACAATGCTAAAAAGCCTAAAATTCAACAAAAAGTTTTGCTACTAGGTTAAATTTTCTATTATTTTTATTATATTAAAGGAAGTTTGCGAAGGCGCGTGTATTTTACACCATAAACTTGTATATTTTACTCCACAAACTGATGATTGCAGCTTATTTCACACATAACGAGCTGTTTAAATCAATATTAAAAAATACTTAAAAGATCAGCCAAGAGAACATGTCATGACACTTACACAAAACAATAACTTAAACCGATTATATATTTTTAAAATCTATTAAATATATTTTTTTTACAAAGGAAATAAAACAGTAAGCATTTTTATAATATTAAATTAACTTATTATAATTTTGATTTACGCATATCAATTGTAATATAGTCACAAAAAGTTCAATTAGCACTTTAAGGTGCTAATTAGAATGCTTTTAGAATGCTTTTACCCGACTTTATTAATGCTATTATACAAAAGATGTAGTGCTATTGCACAGCTTTTATAAAGCTTAAAGTCGTACAAAGGGGGGGCCCAAATTTTACGTATAAGAGTCGTTTAAAAGAAATACGGTTGATATACGATTTTATTATAATGCTTAACGCTTGGACTCGTGCTATCATAAGTTTGATATAATGGTGTTTTGTGCTACTTGGGGTGCATCATCGAATTCAATACCTTCGCAACACTAAAGGTTCGATCTACCTAATTCAAAAGGTACCTTCTAAAAGAATTATTTGATTTGATACTAAGATTAAGTTGACAATGATATAAAAGCTTGATTTCCAAAGTACAGCAGGAATCATTTCAAATATAAACAAAGGTTTATATTAATATTATCAACAACATAAATATACAAATAATATCCCCATTATAACATTAATAATATACTATTACGCTAAATATACACAAAACAAAATTACAAAATTGTAAAGGAAAATAAGATTCTAAACAAGTAACTTTAAAATAATTATAACGCACATAATATATTCGCGTTGCCCAATATGAGGTCGGAGTGCAAGGTTCTAATAAAATTTGAAAAGGTCAACAGCGCTTGTAAACAATATTAGAATACCGCTTAAGTCATCACACGTCTGACAGCATGACCAATTGGAAGGCAATGTTATTGATATTATCTCGAGGGCCAAGATGACGCAGAAACTAATGTTCAACCATCTTGTTTATTAATCTAATAAGGCTCTAAAGAAGTAGGGAATCCAAAAGCTTTTTTATATTTCAAACGATGCAATAGGGTAATGTCTGGGTAAAATAAAAATTTTTAGTCCGTCCGAAAAATATTATATATGTATATAACAAAAGTAGCTTAAATAACAGGCATTAAAGTTGAGGAGTGGGGGCTTGTTACGTCTCAGCTTTGTAGAAAATGTACAAAAGCGTGACGTCATTTAACTCAATGAATTGCCGTACTTTATTGATTACGCAAAAAAAATATAAAATAGGTATTTAATATTCTTTAACAATCTGCCTGGAGGACAAACCAAAATATTAATTTTCCCTATTATAGTAATCAAAAAATAGAATAACAAATGCCTAGAAAATACATAAGAATTTAATATCGTTGTTTTATGATTATATTTGTTTTGTTCTTTTTGCGTCTTTAGAAGGCCTCGTAAAATGTATCCTGTCACATAAAAACGTCTAGGCCACCACTGAAAACATCTCGTGATTCATTGACGAGCCCCAATCAAAACAAAATAGCATTCCCAAAGGAGGTCAATGATTGGATGACCAAAACTCGTTGTAAATTTGAGTGCGAGACGGAACATTTACGAAAAAAACGACACGTTAAAAACTTATCAGTTTCCTTTAATAAAGCATGTTTCGTCAACGCAAACTTTTAGTCAGACACACATGGTAGTATCCACTTAACTCGGACAAGTTTTTCTTAATGTTCATGTACGATTTATTACGATGATATTCGAAGCTGTTTCGAAGAATTGCAGAAGGTTTAGTTAACACACTTTTTTCAAAAATTAGAACCGACTTGAAACTTTAAAAAGTGACAAATAATTCTTATCTCAAAAGCGACTTATTCAAGAATATATACTAATATTATAAAGCTGAAGAGTTTGTTTGTTTGTTTGAACGCGCTAATCTCAGGAACTACTACTGGTTCGAATTGAAAAATTATTTTTGTGTTGAATAGACCATTTATCGAGGAAGGCTTAAGACTATATAACATCACGCTGCAACTATTAGGAGCGAAGATATAATGGAAAACGCGGACCAAGTCGCTGGCGGTCACTAGTTATATATTTTTAAGTCGGTCGGAGGTTTCGGAGGTTTCCTATAGATTATTAATTAAACGATAGACTTCAATAGCATTTTCTTGAATAAGGTGCATTTGAGATAAGTATTATTTATCACTTTTTTAAAGTTTAAAGTAATGAAAAAAGTTTATATTTCATGCTTATTAGTGACGTTGATATTTTTTATTATAATAGGTAACAATAAAAATATTAAATATTGATATAGATAAAAATATATGTCGGCGGGTAGTCCGAAGGGGCTATTACGAAGCCCAAATAGATCGTCAATATCGGAGGACTATCTTTAAAATAACACTGCAGGCGTGTATACCAACGTGGATTTGTTCCATTTTATCACTTTTCATACGAAAATATAACGAGATGAGCGTGATGTCGTCGGATGTCTTTACTCCTCGGCGATCGGAAACAGAATGTGTGCCAAAATGGCGGCAACTTGCTTTTTGTTAACGAACTGTCAAAGTCAGTGTCACCATTCTAATAAAATTAAAAGTATCGATGATCACGCTGTCTCTACAATCGAGTAATTAAGTAATCAAGTAACTAGCAATTAAAATAAAATAAACTAAATCAAACGATCTTCGTAAAGATGATGCGACATATTCAACATGGTCAAAGTCTTAGAAAGGGAGATTTTTTTGCTCGACATATTTTTTTCCAATAATCTATACTCATATTATAAAGATTAAAGATTTGGTTGCTTGCTTGTTTGCATTAGGCTACGAAACTATTGGATCGATTAATGAAAATCTTTTATCTACGGGAAGCTACATAATACGCAGGGAACATAGACTACAATTTACAGGTGAAGTCGCAGGGAAACAGCTATTTTGATAGTCATTGGTCACCATTCAAGAAGAAATCGATGAACGTACCTATTGTCATAAAAATAAACTCCTTGAATATGGAAAATCTACCTTTCAGATTTTTTATAAATGCTAAATACGCAATCTTTTGTTTTTTTAGCTGAAAGAAACATCAAAATTTAGGTGATATTTGATGAAAAGTGTTTCGGAAGTCACGTTAAGCCATTGGACCTGGGAGCCAATTCTACTAGCCAAAATAGAACTGGAATTGTATCGTATGTCACTTTGTATAATAGGAAAACCATTAAAAACTGTAGTTTCGTTAGGTTTCAATCCGTTTTCGATTCGATTTAAAGAAAATTTATTTAGTAGAATTGGCCCCCTGAGTTGCTACTCTGTTTGTCTACGAACGAAAATTACAAAAATTTCGGATCGTTCTTACATTTTTTTTTTTTCAAATCATATACGCCAATATAATTTGCTAATCAGAAGCAGTGTCAGGGTCCTCCCTCCATTTCATTATTAATTATAGAAAAATGTTCCTTTAGAGTCGTATTAGGGTTCCGAAAATAGACGAATTTTCGTCTTTGGAGAAACAAAGTAGGCCTTCCGGTTACATTTGTTATCGTTAATACCCTCCAATTCAATAATCCATTGGGCCAGCATAGAATGTCATGATCCATCCTTCTTAGCCATCCATTAGGAAGGTCTGAGCCCCTGCAATGATGTTACGTGAGTGACATAACCCATACTTAAAGCGTGTACAGTCTCGGGAAAACAGCAAATAAAAAATATTTTGCTGTGCGTCAAAGGAAGAAGTTCTTAATGTATATTGACATTTAAAAGGAATTGGGTAATTTTGTTGCATAGTAGTGAACGACGAGATAAGCGATCTTAATGAGGATTGATTTTATTACATTTGAATTGGTAATTTTTGATTCATCAGAATGTTAAAATATATCACTTATCATTTTTTTTAAATCTTATACTCTAAAATACTGTTTATAACTTTTTAACTGGACATTAAAAACATAATGGCCGACACTGAATATACATCCAATATGATTTTTGACATAACGAGAAGTTTTCAAGAAAAGAAAATCCATGTAAAGGTCGGGTCATTTAATTTGATTTGATGATTGATTTTCTTAATATAAAAGGCATCTCGTTGTGTTAATAGTCATTTTGGGTCAAAATACGACTGTATGATTATTATGTTCAATTATAAAAAGGTATATGTACTCGTACTTTCATAGACTCATTTACAACTTTCATTTTCAATAAAAGCTTTATTTCGCGCCAAAAGGTACGAAGCACAATTTCATTAAAAATCATCACAATATTAACATGAGTTTTAAAGCGTAACCCTTACTTTAAGGCCCGCAAAATATTCAAAATATTAACCGCGAATAATTTCAAATTTAACTATAATGCAAGTTCCAGACATTAAAAGCTTAGGTACCACTATTTTAAAGTAATCATTGAGGATAGTTAAAGACAATCTCATGCAGAGTCATGACCTTTAAAATCTCAACATAAATCGGTTGAGCAGTGAGCAGTCACGCGATATATCATATGTTGGCACTCTACTTGGACCTTTGTCATTTCTCAGAAAGAGTCACGGTGAAAGGTCAAGAGGTGACTGTGATGACTATTTTTAATACTAGAAGTCAATGGGTGCATTGCTTAGGGCTATTGATGAATAAGCTTATTTATAGATGCGGATATTTTATAATTAAGTATATGTTTATTATAGTCGACACAAACAAACAAAACAAAGTTTTTCTCTTTATAACATTAATATAGATGATGTGTATGAATCAAATCGAATGACATTTTGAAGATTACATTTTTTATACAACCATATTAAGAAAATCAAAGCATTCCCCAATCCTGCATGGAATTTTCAATATTTTAATTATATGTATTTTTTTAGTTACACTTACTGCTATTTTCTACTCCAAGGTAGTTAGTAAAAGCATTGTGTGCTTTAGAAAAAATATAAAGTTACTTAAAAAAATACCAATCATAATAAAATAAACAGTATTTAGAAAGTTATTCTTATTTCAAATAATAATTCATATTCGAAATAATAATATTCGACTTTTTTCATTTCGAAATAAATTAATATAATCTTTGGCATTAGTTTTGAAGTACATACACTACTAAAGGTATAAAGCATAGTTTAAATATTAAACATGTTGTTTAGATAAAGCGTGGATATTTATAGAATTTTGAATTAATATTCTGCGTTTGTAAAGTACTTTAAATAAATTACATGTGTTATTCACGTACAGAATCAATAATGCATTTTATTATACATTTATATAAAGGGCAAACCTGTCAGACTTATATATAAACGCACAGCTGAAACTAAATTTACGTACAGGGGTTCCTTTCATGAGGTAAGCACTATGAAAGGATTTTAAGTAATTCATTTCCAAATGGGTGATATAAGGGGATGAAGTTTACATGAAATTTTCTCATTTCTAGCCTTAAAAGTATGTAGACCCCGCGGACGTATACGCTAGCGGAGGGCTAGTTATCTGTATTAGGTACCTACGTGATTATATCAAAATCAGTAGAACAAAAGGAACTTTAGATACTTGAATAACTTAATTAATTAATATTAGACAATATAGAAATGTCCTTTTCCTACATTGTTTCTACATTGACCGGGAATCGAACCCGGGACCTCGGAGATGGCAACACTTTGAAATCGGCGTGCGATCTACTCTGCTAAGGAGATCATCGGAATATAATATAACAAAATAATAAATAAATAATTCGCAGCCGAAAGTAGTAATTTCGAATTACTGTTTTCGGGTAGTTTAGATATCCGTTCTAAAGCCGAATAGTGTTGGTTTTTTCCTACTTGGAACAACAATGAATCATCAATTCTGTTGCAAAAACTAGACTTTGATGTATGGATATTGAACATATCTAAAATATGTTAATAAATAAGTATTATATATAATATAGATAAGGTTAGTTACAAACACGCTAAACAACTCCAAATAAAACTTAGTTTTTTAGAGAACTAAATAACGGAATTAACTCCATCATATACGATGTTTGGAATTGCCCTGACGGGTGCATGGTATGGTGATACTAGTGTAAATACTTCATATACTAGTGTAAAATATCTTTTACTACCACATAATTGCAAAAAAATATTGAATTCAATTATATAATACGGAAAATAGTGTATTATCATATTAAAATAGTGCGATAAATAAAATACTTTAACTTAAAACACGAGTAGTTGCATCACGCATTTATTAATGTCGAATAATATAGTTAATATAGAAATCAAATGATCGAAATGCAAATCTTTTTGAATCACCTAACAATATTTTCTGCATTATCCACTGTGCAAAATTACTATAAAGTTTCAGTTAAATAAATGTTAATAGAGTAAATTTTATTGTATCAGTGGCGAAACTTACTTATTTTAAAAATTTATCTGTTTTTGTAATTATCCTATATCCCAAATATAGCTACGTAAAATTATACATAAGTAATATGCTTCGTTAGAATAAAAAACTAGCTTAGGTTTGATGAAAGTTAGATTCTTGAATCTTTATAAACTGACAGCTGGTCAAATGCGTGAGTTATAGAATTTTTATATCGATCGTAGTTTTGAAACATAATGGTAACATACGATTTAATTAGATTATTACGACAACTTTATTTTATATATTTATACTTAATTGCATAATTGGCAAAGTTAATGCCAACAGCCATGCTCTACCAGCAAACCGGAGAGTTATGATATAGAATAGTGAGTTTAAGAAGGCGGTGCTAAATCTAAATAACGTCAATATAGATACATTACCAACATACGAAAATCGAAGTATAAGATATAATACATACATATTTAAGAAATAGAATTCATAAACTTTCTCGTAATAATTGTCTGAAGTTAATTTAAATTAAGCTTTCCTTATAAATTTCCAAAAAAAAAATACATAATGACTATTAAATGAATTAACATCAAAGTAAATATAAAATTCAACCCTCAATATTTATATTTTTTTTAAAAAGGATCACAGTAGTTCTTTTCTTTTGTTTTACTTTACCGAAACCTTATAAATCCATTTAAAGGTTTTAAGTCAACATTGGATCCTTTAATCGTATATTTAACTACACTTTAACTATTATTTAAACACTTAATCACTTCACACTCACCATTTTGATACTTCGTAAGATCTTGACGAATACTGCGATGCGTTTTGTGTACGCATTTCTTATATACGCTCGTGTTGACGATCCTCAGACGTCGCCAAGGCTGTGTATCCGTGAATAAATAAAGGATGGTATCATTTATTGCACATATAACGTAAATATAGATGTAAAAGTCAAAAGTTCGGGAACTTTTTGTTTATATATTTAAAAAAAAAACAAATCTCACGCACCAGGAGACTATAGAATCGCAGTAGGTAATCGGACGAATACGGTCTTCGATTAGTTTGAATTTAGAACTTATTCCTGAGCAATTAATAGTATGAAACGGAAAGATCATTGTTTTGTTTTTGTGCCCAGACTGATCTCGAATCAGCGACCTTTTGCCAACCAACGTATGGAGAAGTGTTAAATTCATTAAAATGCAAAGGAGTCAAAATTGTACGGCATCATTAATTTATTTAAACGCAATGAGAATAACAAAGCACACTTATTTTTATATTGCATTCAGTGTTTTTTTTTTATTTAGTTTAGTTATTTTAAATGTATTGCAATGCTGTTGAATCACATCTTCTAAATATAGAGTGGTAAATACTTTATTAAGTAAACATGTTTTAAATAACTAGTATTTAAACCAAGATTGTCTCGATATGCCTAAGGATGGTTTAGGATCTCGCTATTTAGATGGGTTAAGTGCGAGAGATTGTACATACTATTGCTCCTCTCCTGTACATATTTCCCTATTTCCCTGTGGTTATTTTTAAAAAACATTAGTTGATAATATAATTGTTTTGAACTGTTCAAAGGTTGCCGTCTGTTCTTGTAATAAGTTAATTAACTCAAATTGGTACCATTAGAGGAATTCTACCACTCTCTAGACATTTTTTTTTTTTATTTATTTTGGGTATAATTTAATTATTCAGTAGTCAGTCAGCAATTTGTAATTAGATGAATATTATTATCCTCCTCTATACTAATATATAAATATTCTATTATACTGGTAATGGACAAAATTGTAAACAACGCCGCGCGCCTCCGCCGCCACAAAAAAGGTTAAACGAATAGTACAATCAACCGCACCGCAGATTATACAAATCTGTCAAATTTTCTCACTTGATTTTAAGTCTTAATATTTTATAGGTAAAGTTTAAAATCAATAATATCATCATTGCAGTCTCAATCGTTTTGTGGAACATTGATAATCTAAAAAGTCTGCTACAATGAGAATATTCTTTAACGAAGACATAATATCATCAACATCATCAGTCTTTTTACGTCCCCACTGCAGGAGCTCAGGTCTTCTTTAAAGATGATTAAGGAGGATGGGCCATGACCCTCCACGCTGGCCCAATGCGGATTGGAGGGTATTAACAACTGCAAATGCAGCCGGGACCAACGGCTTAACGTGCTTTCCGAAGCACGGAGTAACTCGATATAATAATTTTTTGGTCACCCATCCCGTAACCTTGCGAAAGTTGCTTAACGACAACAATCGTGGGGCACGGCGCTTATCCACTACGCCACCGAGCTACACAGCCATAATATTAATTTATTTAATTAAATATTTTTTAAATGGTGCCATACATCCGTTATACTGAATATTGAAAATATAGCTATTGTCACACGGTCCGCCCGAGTGACACTGATTACGGTTGTAATTATACTTTGGTCCAGTGATTCCCTAAGTGGCCAAGGGTCCACGAGGGATTCAACGGGGGTCTACGTTGACGTGAAATAAATTTCCATCGTCAGATCTTCACGTTTAGGACGAATTTTGGGAATATGTTAAAAATGTAGCAGCAGGGGTCCACCGAAACCAGTAAATTTTTTAAAATGGTCTACGAGAAAATATTTTTTTGTGAACCTCTGCTTTAGTCGTTACTAAACGTTGAGTATATCAAAAGTTATAGTATACTTACATACATACCCTAAACATAATATAGTAAAAGTAAATACGTTAAATAATAAAAATAATAACGTTTTTACTGATTAAAAATTAGGTAATTTGGAACTTACTTGTATTGTATCGTAGGTCAATAAAATTGTAATCAATTATTCGCCTATCATCTATAAAAGATCAAGATCAAAATCGCATTTTTAAATGAGATTATGCAATGAGCCAGAGTATATACATAGTAAGCTCCATCGACACCGGTCCTATCTGCGCTTTATATAGATGGATGACACTCATTATTGAGATGCCAGCATAAACTTGACGACACTATTAAAACAAAAAGGTGGTAAGTGGTAAAGTCATAGTAAACAGCACATCGAGCTTGAGCATGAATTCTGTAAACCACGTCAAAAATTAACGCTACGAGTACCTAAGTTTTTAAAATTTTAAATTTCGAATTATGAATAATTCATTTTACGGTTTGATGAAGGTCCATTTGATTAAAAAATTTTGAAATTGGAATGATAAATAACATTCGAATTAGAGTGGCACGACTTTACATACACGTTATCTGATGTCACTGTCGCTCCATCTACTATGAAAAATAATATACATTAATTTAAAAAAGAAATAATAACTTCTTTAAAGATATACATCAAGTCGTCTGTCATAAAACCTTAAACATAATTTATTATAACATTTTGCATAATGATTATGTAATTTGAGGCGACCGGAACGACTTCACTTTTGTCATAAAGTATTCCATGGAAGTAGTATCACTAATGGATTATTTGATGATACATTGTTATACATAGGTACTAACTTAAAACTGCAAACAAGTACTAAGGTGCATTCCACCAAAGAAAACTTTACAACTTTAGTGTTTTTTCTCCCCGCAGTCATGTTATGTGGTGAACGTCCACGATTTAACGTAGACTGCCACGTCCACGCCAACTTTTATGCGATTTTAGGGTTCCGTAACCAAAGGGTAAAACAGGATCCTATTACTAAGACTTCACTGTCTGTCACTAGTCACTTTTCATAAATGATGTATTTTACTAAAAATCCGAATAAAATAAATATTTACAAAAAACGTAGCTTAAATAATCGCAGAAAATTCCCGTAATATTTTCCTTTTTCTAATTATTCATTTCCTATCGTCTTTCATTTCTAGAATGATTTCGTACATCTGAAGATTAGCAAAACTAAGATTTATTCCAATTTCTGTTACTCTAAACGGAAATATGACGAAAATTGTTGCATGCATATTGACTTAACGCCCACATCATATGACACATCATCTCAATCCTGCATAATTGTTTAATTACACAATAAACGTTTAGTCTGCCTGTCCGTCAAAGTGTCACAACAAAAATTAATAACCTTGCGCTTGTGCAATTTAACGTTTGGAACGCAAACAAAAATGAATTATTTGGAACAACCACACGCAAGGGTCTTAAAGTAAATCCTTTAAAAAAATTCGGAACACCATTTATTCACGCAATGCCGAGGTCACTGTTAACTTGGATGGATAATTTATTAGGTTTTGAACTCGTTCGAATGTCACAAATGAGGATAGGGGTAGGCGCAGCTAACCTCTTTTTCGCATCTCAATATACAGCATATTTACATTGTACGATTGTGCTATCTAATATATCTGTCACCATTAATTGATGTTAGGAAGACATTGCACTAATAATATTGGAATTTATGTAGATAGTATTATTACGTAAACATTCAGACGCGCAAATCTTCCGAGCTTTCCCTGTCAAATGATATAATAATAATATTAAAACAAAACTTACTTGTTACAGGGTCTCGTTTATTTAATATTGTTTATAATGATATTTAGTTAAAGGTCATATGTTAAGATTATATGATTATGATGCAGGAACTTTGAACTATCGACCTTGATTTTTTAACCAATAGATTCGTTGGATGTATAAAAAACACAAAATGATAAAGTATCTTATTTAGATTGTGTTAGATTTTGCATGCAGATTATGCAAATTTGTAATTATTAGGTATGACCTATACATATATTTTGTACCTGAAATATTTATAACACTGTTTTTTTTTTAATCTAAAATGCAACCAAACTCAATACAAATCGCCGGTTATTTTTTAATTTACGAAAAAAATGACGCCGGCGGGAATCAAACCCGAGAGGTGAACGTAATCTAGGGACTGCATATAAAACACGTAAAATTCACGAAATTCATGTTATAGATCACCCCTTTCATTTATACAATGATATCTCAACTCTTTAATTCGAATAAGAAAATGAAAAATTAATAATTTATTGTATTATTTAGCTCTGTTATGAAATAAAACAGGAGAAGCATCTATACATTCTAAATATATTTTATAAAGAACGTAATAAATTATTACTAACATTGTTTTCTTCCTCAATAGTACACTTCAGTTTTTTAACTACCGCGGCAATTATCTTAGTGATGTGTCAACTCGATGTTCTAACACAATATAACTCGAGTTGGGCTTAGCTCGAGTTGACTCACGTGCTACGTGCACGTGATTCAACTCGACTCTTTGACAACTTTTTGACTCGTTTTCGATTTTTACCTATTAAAAAAAATGGATCGAAGAACCTGTATCAAGTTTCATGTGAAATACGAAATTAAGACTGGCATACAAAGAAGCTGCCTTGGACCCAAACAACGTTTATCGGTGGTAAAATGTTCTCAAGAAGGCCGAGAAGATGTGAACGACGAAGAGTGTGCCGGACGCCCGAGCAATTCAACAACAGACGAAAAAATTGATGAAGTAAAAAAATAGTATTGGCCAATCGTCGAATCACCGTTAGGGATTTTGCTGAGGACCTAGACATATCGATTGGCTCGTACCATTCGATTTTTATGAATGATTTGGGTATGAGATGGGTTGCCGCGAAATTCGTACCAAAATTGCTCAATTTCAACATGAACATTGCTAATAAGCTGTCGGACTCTGTGCACGACGACCTAAATTTGCTCCAGAGGGTTATAACTGGTGATAAATCGTGAGTTTGTGGTTATGACGTGGAAACCAAATCTCAATCATCCCAATGGAAACCGCCGCACAAACCAAGACCGAAAAAAGCGCGCCAGGTTCGGTCGAATGTGAAAGTTTTGCTCAGTTTTCTTCGATTGCAGGGGCGTGGTTCTTGCATCATGAGTTCTTGCCACAGGGTACAACGGTCAATATGGAATATTACCTGCAAGTTATGCGCAATTTGCGCGAAGTAATTCGTCAGAAACGCCCGGATTTGTGGAAGAACAAAAATTGGTTTTTGCACCACGATAACGCCCCTGCTCACACATCGTTGCTTGTGCGCGACTTTTTGGCCAAAAACGATACACTGATGATACCGCAGCCACCGTATTCCCCAGATCTGTCCCCCTGTGACTTTTTTCTTATTACCGAAACTGAAGATGCCCATGAAAGGACGACGCTACGCCACGATTGACGAGATAAAGACGGCATCGAAGGAGGAGCTGAACGAGAATAAGAAATAAGATTTTATGAAGTGCTTCGAAGATTGGAAAAAGGAGATTACTTTGAAGAGGACAAAATAGATATTATATAAAAGTGTAAGTTTGGTGGTTTCTGTTCTAATCTGATCTGAGGATGTGAAGCTTCCAACAAACTTATATACAAAGGATTATAAATAAAACAAAATATAATTCGTAATTGTCATTCTTTTATTATGATTACGTTTGGTATAAGAACGGTCATAGTAGTGTGGGCTGATTCAATTATTTCACTAACCATCCCTAAGGCAATATTCTTGTAAATTCATACAATTGCGGAGTACCTCTTATCGAAACACGGAATTGTAAGGATAATTATACAATTAAGTATTTCTGTTTCACCTATGCCGAGGGGCGTTTTAGTCATATAAATGCATATCTTTTTATTCCATCTTGAGTGAATGATAATTTAAATTATTCTATATTACCTAAATAATACCTAATTCAAATATTATAAATGTAGCCAAAAATAATTGTATCTAAATAAGCAACTTTTTTTTTACCTCTTTCATTCAAAGCACAGGCCTGTCATAACTGTTGAAAAATCACTGTTACAAATACCAAATCACTTGGTAAAAATACAAATGGATCGACGATACCTGATATATCATAACACAAACAATACAATAAATAATTTCTCTTTTAAACCGCGAACTCCTGTCAATATCTAACATTCACAATTGCAATCTTACAATCGACTATAGAATCCGATATTAAAATAGAAAACTGCAAAGGTAACAGGAATATACTATAACTCTTTTCGATACATGATTATTGCTATTGAAATATCAGCTAACTAGAATTTATCAGCGATCGGAAGTTTACAGGAGACAGTAAATAAAAATAAGTACAGATAGATAGATAGATAGAGGTTAAATAAATATTTATAATATCAACGTCGCGTCACCATCACATACTAGTCTCGAGGGGCCCCGAGCAGTACAAAAATAAAGTTCCGAGTGTTATCAACCGTTCAGTCTTTCTAGTTCTCGTCATATAGGGGGGTCGCATCGCCTAATGACATAGAGCGGGGGGAGGTGTTAGTGTGGGGTGTAGATCGGACCGAGTGAGCGCGGGAAGATCGACCGGAGTGATGCCCGTGCGTGGGGGTAGAGCGGACGTCGTGGCGGGGGGTAGAGCGGGACTCGTGGCGGGGGGTAGCGCGCGGGGTCCTGCTGTGGCGGGGGGTAGACGCCCCCTCGCTGCTGCGCGGCGTCGCCGGCGTGTCTCGCGCCGTTCTATGCCTCACCCAATCCTGTGCCGCTTTCTGCCAATCGGCGGGTTCAGTGTACACTGGTAATTGAACAGGTTTGTGCCGCGGCACTGCCGGCGTTAAGAAGTCCGGCTGGCGGGGCGTGGTCGCGAACGGGGTCATGTATGGAGTTTGAGCGGAGGGCGTGTATGGAGTGTTGATGTAAGCGGGGCCGGGGGTGTGAGCGGGCGTGTGGAACGCTGGCGTGTGAGCCGCCGGCGTGTGATACATAGTAGACGTCATCCCGCCGTGGGGCGTTCGAACCGCCGGCGTTCGCTGAGCGGGCGTCCCGCTCGGCGGCGGATCTCTAAAGTGCTCCTTGAACCATTTCAACAGCCCCCCTAGAGAATCGAACATCCTCTGCCTGAATTTATAACCGTCCGGCGTCACGGACACATACTCGTGCGTACACCTCGACCGCGGTAGATAAGACAGCAAAAATCTGCCCGGGTGATTTTTCGCCGCCGATATGACGTAATGGATTTTGTTTGGATTCTTTGATTTCTCCTCTTTCAACACCTCCTCGGCTTTGTCCCTCATTCCGCCGAGCGGCTTATAATATTTGTAGGAGATCATGTCGCGCGCGAGGCCCGCCATCGGCGTTACGTACCGGGCGATGATTTCGTCGAGGTCTTCGAACTCTGAACCTTGTATCCAGAGACTTCGACCTAAGATAAAAATAAAAAATATTAAAAATTTACCTATTAAAAGGAATATAAAATCTTTTAACAGTTATATACATTATACATACCTAACGAAAATGCGTTTTCTTTGCCCTCTTCTCGTACGTCAATGTGTTGATATATACCTTCTGCTACTTTCCAAGTAACAGTCAGATGATCTGAACCCTATAACAATAAAAAAATCTACATAAATAACAAAAATAGACTTCTTTTCAAAGTAAGCTAAAAGGACAAACATTCTTATAAAAAAGATTCGTTTTATTTCTACTGCATTTCAGTTTAAAGATCTTTATCTCACACTATATGGCCCAGTGTAGACTACAACGAACATTTCAATACCAAAATCAGTTAAATCGGTCGTACTCTAGTTTTAGCCTGACAAACGAACAGCAATTGACTTTAATATACATAGATTAAGACAATTGTCAGTTACATGATAATATTATAATTATAATCAAATATTGACCCCAAGTGGGTATTAGCATAATTCATAACTAAACCACACTAAAATGTTGCGTTCTCACGAAAGAAATGGTGCTCTAAGTTATTTTTTATTTCATTATTTTTCAGTTTTTTTTTATGTCACATGATATATTTTCGTTGTTATTAGATACGGTTCACGGTGAAGGATTTGTGATCATGTAATGTCTCCAGTACAGCATAAAATATAACTTTTTACCATTTTTGTAAATCATATAGAGAGATTTCACATCGTTTATTTCATTCGATAATGAATTTGTGAATTATAACGCCCCTACAAAGTTTATAATTGTTTACCTTGCTACTAGGCCTGACTATGACCTCGCCCTGTGCCATATTCTCCATTAGCTTCTCCGCTTCAGCGAACGAGATGTTATGGAATGCTGGATGCACTATCACTCGCTTCACGTACTGCATACGTTCTTTATTCTGTTTCGCCTCACTGTCTTTACGGACGTCTTTGTCTTCCGCCTCTTGATCATAGTAAGGGTCTTTAGAAGGTCTAAAAAAATGAGAAAAAAAGTTACAGTTCAAATTATATTTACAATTTCAAGAATTACATAAAGTATTGCTATTTCGCTACTTAGGATATGTTGTCATAATATGGATAAGATCCTGACTTTTATGTAAACAAAGTTAATATATAGCTAAAATTCGTATACTAAACCTAGCTCCATCTACTACATTAGTTATGAAACATCAAGCAACTTCAAAAGGAAATACCTTAGAGGTATATCCGCATTAATTTTACATCTGACGTCATTGATTTGAAATATCTCTAGTTACTCCATTCACTACTTTTTTGCCTATAATTTACATAAATATGTAGATTTGGGAATTATTACATGAATAATTATGTTAAAACGTTCGTTTTCTTATCAGGCAAAAGATATCCGGAACTAATAATGGTAGAAAAAATGTCAGACAATTTAAAAGTACTTTTTAACCATACATAATGTTGGACGATTTAAAAGTAATTTGGAAAACAAAAAAAAATATGACACACAATATAATTGTTTACCTCCACTCTTTGTTCTTGTCCAAAAGATCTGATGACTTCGAAGTGCAGTCCACAGAGAACCTTTCCACGTCTATTTTTAGTATCCGGCAGTGTACCGTTTGTCCGATCCGGACGCGCTCGGTAGGATCGGCCACGTGCCGGTCCGACAGATTCTTTATATGTATATAACCGGACAGACCGTTGTCCAGCCGGATCCGGACGCCGGTCGCCTGACCCGGACACGCGCCGGCATCGAAATGATTCCATACCTAGTTTTAATATTCACTTTTATTACTTGGATAACTATCACAAACCATGTTATACCTTTACTTATATGTTATTTATGTAAATCTTTAAATAGTTATAAACAAATTGGTTTCCCACTCTGTCTGTATGCTAAGATCTTTTAAAATACACAACTTATTTTAATGCGGCTTCATTATAATACAGATATATCTAATACAGATATACTGAGGTTAAACTGCTAGCAAAAAGTTAGTTTATAGATAAAAGGCATAAATCTTTTAGTAGAAATCAATATATAGATCTAATAATCTTATAATAAGTTATTCAATTATCAGAAAACATTGAACGCAATATATACAGCAGTTCCAAAAAAAACTATAGAAAGTTATTTTTTACAAAGACTTACCTCCGACAATTCGGGAAAATCATTCTTGTGACAGAAGGGGCATTCCCACAACCCTGTTTCGTCATTCCTCACCGGATTGGCCTGATCTAACATCTCCCGCTGCGGCTTCCTATGAGTTATGCCTATCACCGAAGCCAACACCATTTTACCCACATAAAATGTCTCTGGAGATTCTTTTGTAAGGATATCAAACAACTCTTCGGGCGTGGGCGATCGGTATTGAACCCTTAAATCTTTATACCTAGAGTTCAATTCAGCTCGAATATCATACAATGTTATACATTTGTTTCCAAACCCTTGCCTCTCCAATTCTTCTGCGAAAGCATCTAAATCCAAATCTTTCAGCCTCTCTGGTGCTTCGAGAATCTCTTCCACAGCGCCTGCTGGATTAGCATCTTCATCTTCATATTCTAAGGCATCAACAGCCATTTTCCTAGCCCATTCATAAGTCTCCGGATGCACACGTGACCCATCCAATACCTCAATGTAAGCTTCCGTACTATCACCGAGACTGCTGGTATCTATTTTTATGAAACCAGAGCAGTTAATAAAGACTTTAGGTCCCATATGGCATACTGTGACCAACTGAGTTCTGTTCTCCAACTTTTGGTTAGTCTGCTTGAAGAGTTTTATTAACGCTTGGGCCTTTCTTGGTCCTAAACCGCAGACGTATTGAAGTAACTCAGTGCCTCTTCCTGTTAATATCGCCTCATTCATGTCGACGCCGACTTCGTTCACTCTATTCACAAATTCCAACTCTATACCCTCGAGTAAATCCTCTTTGGCTATTTGGTCTTGCAACGGATGGTATCTGAGGCAAAGGATTTCTTCATCTGGACCGCAAAGTTGAGATATCTCCATGAGCGGATCTTGAAGAAGACGTCCCTGACATACCGCTTGGCGTAATATGTCCGGGTACTCTCTGAAGTCATTCTAAAAAAATTTTTTTTTATTAAACAGACATTTAAAGTTTATATTTCGATATTATATACTTTTATCCTGACTAAATTTATATACTTTGAAATAATTTCACAAAAAATATATATATTTGCTCACTTCTGCTGAACTCGAAAACAGGAAAATTTTACATTTAGAGTAATTATTTATAAATTTAACTAAAACTTCTTATATAATAATATCAAGGCCTCAATTCTGCAAATTTTTACGTAATACTATTATTACCTCAATTGAAACTCAACTACTTACATTTACAGCTAAGCTCCAATATTATTAGTGCATTATCTTCCACACAAATCAATGGTACACAGATATATTTATTATTTTGTGATCTAGTAACAAGAACTGTGTCATAAAGTTTGTAGTTGAAAGGCTATTGACTTTCCATAATTATTACCCTAACATCAGTGGAATTGCCCTACAATACAGCTACAGTGAACACGGCCAGATTAAGTGAGCCATCTTTAATTATAGACATTCTTACCCTGCCACGAATACTGTTGCTATAGATCTTGCTGATATGATTGTCTGCAATCTCTATAGGTATACGAGGGAACTGGTCATCTTCCACCAGCTGCTGGACACATTCCGCCACGTCTGCTTTCACGGAGAGAGCTTCGCGAGATTCGCCACCGATTACTATGACGTGAGGCTTCTTACGTAATATGAATCTGACGAACAATAAATACAAAAATATTGGACAACAGATCTAGTGAGTGATTTTGTATTTTTGTTCTAAAATAAATATGGACGACGTCTTTTTTTATTTTCCATGTAACTCAATATTAACATATAAATTGACCTTTTCCAAAACTTCTTGAAAATTATTAACAAACTAAAAGTTATTAAACTATTAAAACAATATTTTCTTTTAATAATTAAAAAAAAAAAAATTTTAATATTTTTAAAATTTGTTTTAATTATTTGATTTTTTATATTTCAATAAATTAATAAATAATTTATATCTTGTATTTTGTGCTTATTATTTTCAAATTACGTAACTCGTGTGTTATTTAGATAAGGTTCCAGCGCATTACCAATTTACAGGACTCATAACTTATAAGGAGTTTAGCTCGGTAGCGTTGTGGATAAGCGCCGCGGCCCGCGATCGTTATTGTTAAGCGACATTCGCAATGGTCAATCACTGGATTGATGACCAAAAATTATCATTTCGAGCTACCCAGTGCTTCTGACGGCACCTTTGATCCCGGTTGCATTGGCAATCGTTAACACCCTCCAATCCACATTGGGCCCGCATAGAGGGACATGGCCCATCCTTCATAAGGAAGGCCTGAGCCGCAGTGGGGTCGTAACAGGGCTGGTGATGATACCTTCTAAGTGCCGCCATATCTGATTCCTTGTTTTTCCGTTCTAGCGCGTCCCACGCGTTGCGTCTATACAATAGGTGTGGTAAACGCAGATGATCCACCACTTCCCCGGCAGCGGCGACCACGCACGCGAACGCAGAATGCGTACGTTCCGGTACGTATGCAATAGATAACACGCGGAGACCTGTCGAAATAATCTTACTTATAAGAAACTCACAGTATTTATTATTAAATAAGGTATTTAATAATTTATATCGTTATATAGCTGTAATATCTTTGTATTATAAAACAAAGTCCCCCATTGTGTCTGTCTTTTGTCGCGAAAAAAAGTGGAAAGTACTGGAGGAATTTTCATACAATTTTCAATAACAGAGTGATCCCTGGGGGAATACCCGTCACTGAAAAACTTAAAACTTTGTAACAAAAATAAATAAAATGTAATTAAGTGCCAAATACAAGCAGATTAAACGACGGATTTTTGGCGCGATTATTGTTAAACCTTTTTTTTTAACCAAACGTCGAAAATTACTTCATCAGTTCGCAAATTTACAGCGGGAGACTCTGTACTGAGGAGAACCGGCAAGAAACTCAGTACTTTTTTCTCTGTTTTATTTCATACAGAGAAATCTAATTAGGAAGTGATGAAGATGGGAGTTTTATTTTTAAACTAGCTGTTTTCCCGCGACTTTGCCTGCGTAAATTATGTTATAGCTTACTGTGGGTAAAAGAATCTTTAAAATCGGAACCTGTTCGATGTAAACAAAAAAAATGTTTCCATTTTATAACATTAGTACAGATATCAACATACCATTTGAAGTGTCCCACTCCTCGTCATCGTCATCGGAGACTCTGGACTCGTACGGTGCCACTTTGAGCCAATCGTACAAGCGACGACGACAGCACCTAAACAAATATTACAATATCACGTAAGTCCATATGATATCGAGACCTCTAAAGCGTTCATGTGCTATGCGAGTCAAATAAAAATAGTACTGTCAAACAGCCACTTTGGTTCTCACTGCCTTCAACATCGGAGTGTAAGGTGTGCAAAAAAAATATGCATATTTTTTTTAATAAAAATAGCTCACTGAAATTTATATAATTGAACCCGTAGTTTATTAACTCATCCAATCACAAAACTACGATATAGGGAATATTACGCAGAAATCAGCATAGATAGCAATATTAGCACATAGCACAAAGTTATCTCGAGCTTCGGAAGGTACGTTTATGTCGCGGGATGGGTGATCAAAAAAAATATTATCTCGAGCTACTCCGTACTTCGGAATGCACGTTAAGCCGTCGGTCCCGGCCACATTTGCAGTCGTTAATATCCTCTAAACCGCATTGGGTTACCGTGGAGGGTAATTTCCCATCCTCCTTAACCATTTATAAGGAAGGTCTGAGTGGGGACGTAAAAGGGCTGATGATGTCGTACCAAAAGAGTTAAGAAAGCGGATGAAGCAAAAGATGGTCCTTAACCATGCTTTGTGACATTCGGTTCTCTCTGCCTACCTCGCAAGGGATACGGAGTGAAGATACGGATAGCAAACAAAAAATTTTTTTTCAAATAATTTCGACTTTTAGAAACGAAAGATTCTCTTCCTTCTTACATACAAATATGCAGCAATTATGTATCATCACCAGCACTTTTACGTCCCCACTGCAGGGGCTCAGGCCTTCCTTATGGATGGTTAAGGAGGATGGGCCATGACCCTCCATGCTGGCCCAATGCGGATTGGAGGGTATTAACGACTGCAAATGCAGCCGGGACCAACGGCTTAACGTGCCTTTATGTATCATTGGAATAAATTATTGGATCTAATTATACTACTTTGTGAAGCACGTTTGATATGATATTTTAAAAAAGCTGTTTACTACATATACCAGTGCTGCAATCTGGCAACAAAAAGTTGCAGTAATTCGTCCTATTGGCTAGAACTAAGCCACTGGGCCATCGAGCTCTATACTTACTTGAGCACATATTCCTTGGATTCTTGCAGTAGTACAGAGTGTAATTCTCGTCGGAGTTCTGGCATAACTATTTTAGTAAGTGCTATGGTCACAGCTTCAGCTCTTAACTCGTTCCAAGCTTGCACTGTTGCTGCGAACTCGTCCTGTGCACCGATTATCAAATTTGTTATAGAAATTAAGTGTTAAGGCAGTTTCAATAAAGTTGATTTCAGTTAAACAGTGGCTAAACTTTTTATACTTTTCTGGTACGAATTTGTAGGTGAATGTGAATAAAGTGTGAAAAAAATTGGTTCCAATAATAACATTCATATTCGAGTTTCAAAACAAAATAGGTTCAATAAATTGGTAAAGTATTTTATTAACCACTGTAAGAGTGCTATGCATCACAATGATACACATACAGTATAAAGCTAGGCTTGACATTATGCAATATAATTTATGCTATAAAATCTTAGTCCTTCGAGTCGGATGAATATAGAACACTAGAGTTTAAGACCATATTAAACTTTGTAATACTTATTATAAATGAATTGTCAAAATCTTTTATATATTCGGCACTTTTACTTTACCTTTTGGTAGAGTTGCTTGAGTTCTTCTAGGTAACTAGGACTAGTGTTGCCTTCAATTTGCTCGCTTATATTTATCTCTAATAGTTTGTCTTCAGCAGCCATTGTGAGCTTCAAGTACTGGTCACCAGTTAAGTCACGCACAGGCTTCTTTTTCAAATACTTCAAACTGTTTGAAAATTTTACATTAAATAATATTCAATAATATTTTTATTATCGAAATAATGAGTACACTCAAAATTGATGCAATAGGATTAATATAGATGGGGATTAGAAATAAAAAGTTCTGTTTAATTAGATACAAATTTATAACAATAGAAAGATTTTTTAAAGTAAATAAATGATTTAGTTATTACTTTTTAAACTGTATAGTTGGGTTAGAGTGAGAATACATAGTCTTTCTCACTCCCGTACGACTCTAACAGCTCGCTAACTTTTTAAGTTATAAGTAAGTATATGAACACCCATATTCTCTTAAAACTAGGCATATTATATGCCTCTTTATAATTGTTTGATTGTTTGCATCGAATAGGCTCCAAAAATACTACCGATACCGAAATATACCGATTTTAAAAATCGTTTTATCTACGGGAAGCTACTTCATAAACATTGAACATAGGCTATATTTTATCCCGAAAAACAACAAATAAAGGAATGAAAATGGTAGTGAAACTTTAGCCGCCGGAGAAAAGCCGGAGAATTATTCTAACATACACCGTAGCACTCATTGTGTTCGTAGCAATTACCTGTAGCAGGGATGGTTCTCGTCTATCTCCTTCATTCCGCGCTGTGTGGGGCGCACAGTGAGCGTAGCACGTTCCCGTAGCGCGTCTCTCAGCGTGCCCCGTAGCAAAGGCTCGCGGGCAAGTTGCACACCGCACATGTATACAGCCCTCCGTAGCACTTCCGTAGCTGAACCTATACTCCCAGTCTACAGGATATAATTTTTCAATTAATGATCACCGTTGTTCGTGCTTTGTATTATTAATTATCCTGCCCGCGGCAGCCAAAATCAGAATATTTAAAAATAAAATTGATTTATTAGAAAAAATACATTACCCAGTACCTATTATAAAAACAAAAACAAAGAAAAGGTATTTTACAGGTCTGTGAGTGCAGTTTAATTAAATGCTAAAATGACAGATTAATAATAAAAACCGGACATGTGCAAGTCGGACTCCCGCATGTAAGGTTCCCGTACTAGAAACGAGCAAAAAAATCACGTTTGTTTTATGGGAGACCCCTTAAATATGAATTGTATTCTAGTTTTTAATATTTATTTTTGAAGCAGCAACAAAAATACATCATTTGCAAAAATTGCAACTAACTTTCACAGTTCATAAGACAAAGCCTGGTGACAGACAGACAGACAGCGAAGTTTTAGTAATAGAGTTCCCATTTTACCCTTTAGGTATGAAACCCTAAAAAAGGGAAAAATAATTTCAACATCTGTTACTAAACTAACATTTTTAATTCCAGTCAAAGTAAAAGGTCACTTATAGTTTCAGATCAACCTTGTAAGTATTTTTTGTTGCACAATATGCATACAAAAACATATTTTAGATACAAGAAGTAATTGTAACTTTTATTCAATCTTCATAATTTAATCACAATCTGCTTAGCAGTATTATTTTTATATCTAATTAACCAACAATAAAAACTCATGTAAATGTAAGTAAATGTAGATATGTCATTGAAGCAAACAAATATGTCATCTAAATAATTTGAAGAGTTTGTTTAATAAAAAATGAATAGTGATTTCAAGACCCGTCTGAGTAAATGGGGTAAGTGGATTTTTTAAACACTTTTTCATTAAGACTAATTTTCAGTATAGAGCATTGTGAATGCAAAATTTATCAAATATAAAACAATATTTATCTGCATTACTTTGATTAACTTTTATGCCTACTGACATCGTAAACATTTAAGGCTCATTTTACTATAGCATAATAGCATGTAGACAACTTGTTTTAAATATTTTCTTTTTTAATTTTGTATAAATTTCCCACGAAAACGTCATCTTCTGTCATGACTCGCTCTGGCACCATAAATCTAATATCATTCTATGTATGCATAGTGTATATGAGTAGTGACGTTGGCGCTTCTTGCGGTCACGTGACAACGAGTATATTTGTTATTTTTTCATAATTAAGCAATATTATAAATATAGTAAGCATAAACGTGTTCGGTAATAGTATATTAGGCACTACCAGAAAAAGAAAATTAATGTGTATTTATTTCCTTTTACTATCTACACCCGTAATGGCTAGATGCATCTGAGCGAGCGCAACAACAATAAATAAATATTACACAATATCACATACATTGTTCAGATTCCAATATGAGTATTCAAAACCCCCGTATTATGTAGTATCTGAGACAACGAAAGTAACACAATACCCAGACCCGACACAATACAGAAAAGTTCATTTTCTACATTGACCCGACCGGGGATCGAACCCGAGACCTCAGAGATGGCGACACATTGAAACCGGCGTGCGAACCACATGACTACGGAGGAAACAAATATGTAACAGCGAGTTTTTGTACGAAACTATCTGTTTACGGTGACCAGACTACAGTATCTATTATCTATATATTATTTCTGATATTAATATTCTTAATCTATTAAATTTTTTTTCTTTTTAATTATTGTTGTGAAAAATTTTTGCTGATGCTGTACACGCTTATTATTGGTGCAAATATCAGATGTGATATGTTGTTATTGTTAGTGTCTTATGATAATAAATAAATAAATATAACAGTGTACTCACATATGGAGCGGCAGCTTCGATAGGAGCTACAGGTTGTTGGTCCACCTCATGACGCTGATAATTATCGCGCACATTCTCCGCAAATTGCTCCGGTGTTAAACCGAATTTCTTGACCAGGGGTTCTGTATACATGTAATAGGGAATATTACATAAAGCTCGGCATCGGCCACGTGTTCCTGAATTACACTTATAAACTTTCCACTTGAATCACTCTATATATTTACGTGTTAGATTTCAAATTTGAAATCATAGTCAGTATGAACGCGAAGGTTGTTGTTAAGCAAATTTCGCAAGGGACGGTCACGGAATGGGTGACAAAAAAAATTATCTCGAGCTACTCCATGATTCAGAAGGCATGTTAATCCTTTTGTCCGAGGTGCATTTGCAGTCGTTAATACCCTACAATCCACATTAGGCCTGGTTGGAAAATTACGGCGCATCCTCCGTAATCATTCATAAAAAAGGCCTGAGCCCCTGCAGTGGGGACGTAACAGGGCTGATAATGAGTAAAAAGTATCTTACCAATGCCCGCCTTCCTGCAGAGCTCGTAAGGTCCAGATCGTACTGCATACTTCACTTCTGTTTGTGGTTGGTCATCTTCCTCAGATGCCCTCGCCACGACTTCTGCGACAGCCTCCTCTGGATCTTCACCGTTTTTCTCTGCTTCTTCACGGGCGAATTTTCTATACGAACAAAAAATTAAATGAAATCGTCATATTTAAGTTCTATTTAATTACATACATGTTGAGAATTAGCGCGTTCGATATAAAGCAACTTTCGCGAGGACCAGGATGGGATGGGTGACCGGCCGAACCCGTCCCCGTCCGATATCCGGCCTTTACGAAAGCTACATAGCCTCCACAATCGCAAATTGAACGCACTTAGTATTTAGATACCAAGCTCCTCTTATACACTATGTATTAACTAATCTAATTCTCACTTCTTATCCTCCAGTTCTTTTTTCTTCTCCTTCGCTCGCTGCACTTTCTGCATCTCTGGTAGATCGTTAGAGTAATACAGAAGAAAGTGAGTGTGCACGTCGCGGAGCTCTTCTGAAGTCTGCACGTTCTTCAACCTATCAACAAAAAAAAAGTTTAATTCAGTTTGTAAATATAGTTATTATACGTTGGAGGCATAGTCGACACCACCCATTTAAAACTGCAATCTCAACTGCATTTTATTACCTGTGCTTTAATTTATTTACCTGTATATTTTTCTCATATCGGGTCCCAATCGAGGTTAAAGAGTGAAATATAACATGGAACAACGCGCAAATATGCAATTCCGCGAAAATCGCCATTTTTAACTTTTGTACCATATATTATAATAAACAGTTATTAAAGTGCAGTTACGATATTATACTTGGGAGGTGTTTACTACGCCTCGTATACTATCGGTATATCATAACTACATTTAACTAAAAAATTCGTTTTGTAAAAGGGAGTTACAATACACATCTATAATAATATTATAAAGAGGAAAGATTTGGTTGTTTGTTTGCTAGGCTTTGAAAGTACTGGACTGACTTTAAAAATTCTTTCACCTACGGGAAGCTACATCAAGCAAGATGAGGAATGGAAGTTTGCATGGGAAATTAAAACGTTACCATAGTAACCATTGATTACTATTCAATTTGTCATTGTAAATATATCTGTATCATGATATGAATCGATAGAGCGAAGCCGTCGGCGGAAAGCTGGTATATTATTAAAAGGCAAGATTTTTTTTATTTATAATATTGTATGTAAGATGCATGGATACTGTTACCTTTCTATATCCTCATCCCTGATGAGCCTCATGTTTTCAGGTATCGGCGCATCCGGATCTAACATCACCTTATCCAGTTGAAAGTCGCGCATATTTTCCAATAATTTTAACAGATTCTCTTTACGCTGCTTTAGTTGGCACCACTGTAGAACAAGATTACAATTTAAAAATAATAAATTAAAAATGATCTTAGCTACCATTTCATATTATTATAGCAATGATATGATTTTAGCAAATGTCGTTAGTTCCGTTAGAACTGGTGATTTTTTCTCTCGTTGTTCTTATCGACTGAAAGACATCCTGAACGAGTGGTAGGTAAAAAAAAAAGTTGGACGATTCAACTTTTAATAAGTTAAATTGAATAAATATAGTTTGATAAAAAGGCAAACGAGGCTAAGTTTTTTACAAAGCTCTCACATAAAGAAATTAAAACATCTAAACAGAAAATTAAGATAATAAGAATACAATTTAATTACAAAAATGTTTAATTGTATTCAATGAATAGACAATAATAAAGTTATCTTACCTTGGCATCATACTTGTAGACCTTCCACAAATCGTTTATACTCAATTCCGGTTGCACATACTCTTTACGATAGAAAGCTATGAACGGCACTTCCAATGTCTGGTTCCTCATGAAATCTAGTGCTTGACGAATTTTCGTTATTGTACTCGAACCCCTGCATCCCATAAATTATTAATAATAATAATATAATCTTTATTGCACACACACAGACAGGAAAACAACACAATCACAGCAATCTCTTCCAGGCAACTATAAAAATAACCTTACCTTCTAGACCTTTCTCTAGCATCTTGTGAGTCTGCTTTTGATACAGAGGGTTTGAGGAAAGCCTGCTTATATATCCATTCAGCCTCATCCTCTAACTCTGTACTACCCTCTTCAACAGGAGTGATGGGCACTTCACGTATCTGCATACGCTCAGGTACATCTGTTTTACGGATCTAAAAAATTTACAGAAACGATGCAATGAATAGATAAAGATGGGTTCACATTTCTGACATCAAACCACCCACCGGACACCCTAATAATTCATACTATAATTAAACAATTGGTTACTTGGCGGTTACAATAATAAATTACGAAATATGTTTTTTTTTATGTTGGATATTATCCATTGTATGTAGACAATAACTTTGTAGTAATAAAAATAAAATGTATTTATATTTTATTTATGCAAAACTTGTAATCTGTGGATTACAAAAACTGAAACGCGGGCGGCCATGACAGAGTATCGTGTGACGTCGCCTTTCAATATACTAAACGTCAACGTCTTTGTTGAGTACTTATTTTTATTGAAATATGACGTCACGGTACGAAAAACCATGTAACTTATTATTTTCAAGGGAATAATATAAGCAATAAATTATGTTTCTTCATTATTCACAACACTTTTTCGGTAAAATAAATCTAATAGCGATTAAATATAATCATATGAAAGTTTTAAAATAATTTTCGCAAAACAGTCAAGCAGACAATTCGGAATAACACAAGTTCGATTAAATGTTGACAAAACATTCACTGCATAATTAGATATAAGTTTAACTCTTACCTCATTATCTAAGTCAGTGAAGTGGCTCCTCTTCAGTTCACTAGGTTCGTATATTTCAAATATAGATTTCTTACTCGCCCGTTTTGGTTTACCCTTCTTAGTTCGCCTTCTTTCACCTATGGTTATAAAACATATCGACGTTTTTTTATTTATTTTCACCTTATTTACATTAACATAAAGTACCTAATCTTTTAGCTGAATGACATACCATCTTCCTCCTCGTCTTCGATATATTCATCCAAATCTTCGTCTTCCTCATCTTCGTAATCTTCTTCTCCATATTTCTCAAATTCATCATAATCAAAGTCTACACCGAATATATCTTGACCCTCTTGTAGCGATCTAAATTAAAATATGATTACATTAAATAGATTACCAATCGTTTGATATGTTAATAAGTAAAACTTGTATAGGTATTAAAGGAAATTTTTAATGAAAATAGTGAATAAGTTCTTTATTTCATATTATATTAGTATAAAGCGGCGTAGTCGCCGGAGATTCCCAAAGTGGTTGATCTACCAGTTTGGGACCAGTTGGGGTCGAAATCTGTTTGCAGTCTATGTAAACAAAAAGTATTTTTTTTTTGATGAACCAAATTCAAAAAATCAAATTGAATAGAACCTGTGTTAATTTAATATTAATGCAATTATTAATAGCACAAAGATAATTATTTAACAGATTCTTATTTGTAACTTTCAGGACACCATAAGTTTTGTTATGTGTACTAACTTGTTATAAAAATTAGAAATATTTTAATAGAATCTATATATATCTATATATGGGAAAATGATGTTAATTATTATGTTGATGAATTTTGCATTCACGATTCTATATTGAGTTATGGGAATATCGGAAATTATTCTTAGTTTATTTGTTAAATTGGTAATTATTTGTATCAATAGGAAAAAATTAGAGACAGGATTTTTAAAGTATTTTGGCTATGGGGGTCTGTGGTATAAGTTCATATTAGAAAACGAGTTCTATATATACTTTATAAAGTGTAAATCGAGAAACACGACACTTACGCATCTGTGAATATGGGTTTGCGTTTCTTTTTGCGTTCAGCTATTGGCCTTCCATCATCATCAACTATGAAATCATCAGCGTCCGACTCCAAATCTTCATTTTCATCATCATACTCTGCTTCGCCTCGTGGCGCAGCAGATTCTGATCTGTTCTCATCTTCCTGTAACATAAATACACATTTAAAACTTATACAAAAATATAGACCATAATATATATAGATGAACTCTTTATTGCTCACAAACAAACGAAATGTTTACAGTAAATTTCTTAATTCTAGCGGGCAAAGGCGGTCTTATCGCTAAAAGTGATCTCTTTCTGACAACCCTTGTGTTAAAGAACACCTGTCTAAAGGATGTGATAGTGTGCCAACATTAACTAAAGAATTATGAAATATCCTATTACAAATATATAATACATACTACTAATACGCATTAACTATAAACTACATACTCTACGTATACATAATAAATCTATCTGTTCTAATACAAGCTAAGATTTATCCAGTAGATACTTGTGAAGGTCTTTCCCAAAAACATTAACAGATTTGATCAAATAACAGATTAAAATCGTTATAAATCATTATCATTATTTATAAACTGCTGAATATAACGGTTTCTTACAATTACGTTAGTTAATGTGAAAATGATTATTTCATTATTCGGTCATACGATGGGTACGCCATCTAGCGTCAGACTTTCTAATATTATAAGTAAGTTTGATTGTTTTATTTTGAATTTGACAGAAATAAAACTTGCAATAATGTTCTAAACATATGATTAATTTAATAATGAATTTTCACAACAATTGTTCATTTACAATAAAACAGATTCAAAATATTTTTTTTTGAAATTTCCGGGAGTGTATTTAAAAATGGACAACCTTTGAATTTTTTATCGTCGTATATCGAGCAATACGTACATTATTCGTACGAAATGTAAACATCAAGCGGCGCTACTTGAAATATGTAAATGGTTTGAAATGTGTAATTAGATCAATTAAAATAATAAAGTATGTATATTCATAATTTGCAATGTATCACCTTTATTATAAATGTAAAAGACACATATGTGCCCATATTTATTTAAGACACTCAGCCAGCTAGTATTTAAAATAAATATATATATTTTATTTTTCCCTATAATAAAAGTATATTTTATAGAAGACAAGATTAGCTTCGTAGAATTTTATTGCATTAATTCAACAGCAAGTTCATTTGGATGGTTTTGTAGACATGCTTGATATTTTTGGACGCAGCACATATTTTGTGTTATGAATTTCATTGTTAGTTACCAGCCATGGTGCTTGGGATATGGATTGGAGGATAACATTTTGCATCCATTGCAATATTTCAAGTTAATAACATAAAATTATGGCCACTACTAACCTCGTCTGACCCACCAACAAAAAGTTTTTCTGCAATGACCTCTCTCTCTAATTCAGGGTCATCGGCACCTTCATTATCACTGTCATCATCTTCTAGACGTCGTAAACGTTTAAATTTATTCTGCAAAGAAAATAGATTAGTTAGAGATTAATGGCTACATGTGAATGAGTGAGCATAAATATAAACTAAAATTACTGAGTTTCAATTTATTTTCAAGGAAAATTTTATATTATTTCTTCTATGTTTCACTAGCTAAACTTAATTCTAACAACCGCCCCTGACTAAAAATATAGATGTTAATGAAAAAAAAAGGAATGAAATAATATTTACTATTTCGTCAACAAAACTTAATATAAAATAACTGCCAGCATGCTCAATCTAGCATTAGTTAAAATAGGCAATTTATGTAAGTTTATAGTTAACTAAGTACCTATTTGGAATTACTTAAATTAACTTCTACTGTGACTAATTAATATACATGAATTTTAACAACGCCTAGACATTAATAGATATTTCAAATTTAAGATAATATCGTTTGTCCCCACTTTTTAGCTATTTTGTTTTCAGCTGAGGATAAAATGTCACATCTTTCAATTTTAACTGGATTCTACTCTTGATTGGATCACTAGCATACTTTGGTGCTGGGGTACCCAAGAGTACGAAACAGCATGATTGCAATGTCAATCATAGTCATGATTCCTTTCCAGAAGAAGGGGGCAGTACAAAAAAGTTTACTGTTTTACCCTGGCTACTTTGACACCAAGATTCTCTTCAATAAGATCATAGTCTTCATCTTCTAGTCTGTCATCTAGTTCGTCGTCACTTTTTTTTCTTTTTTTAGGCCCTGCACTAGCATCTGAATCTTCTCCGTCACTTCCAGACTCTTCAATAGGTGCATCATCTATCAAGTCTTTTAGTTCTTCTCGAAGACGTTCTTCATCATCTAAAAATATTCAAATACATATTAATTTTGTAAAGAATGACAGTGGCCTAAGAGTCTTACTTCACAATTTACATAACTAACCTTATTATATAACTTGTACAAATTAAGAGAGTCCTTTGTATGTCAAACAAAAATTTGAAAAATTTTGAATCCACCAAATAATTATATGCCGTTCTTATGAAAAGTGCAATTTGAGCTAATTAAAATTTCATTTTTGATTTATGTGTATCTTTGGCAAGTCATAAGTATATAATAATGTAAAGTAAAATTACGTCACAAGGATTTATTTATACATTCTCAGCTAAATGGACCTCATCCCATGGCCAAGTTAGAGTTTTTTAATTTAAAAAATATAAGAAAAAAAAACTACAATATTCTAGTCACATAACAACCTTCTTTCATTCATTTAATTTTCATTTTACATGTAGAAATTAATTTATTCACTTGACATTGGCAGAATTGTTAGAAATGCACAGATAAGCCATTAATAAAAGAAGAAAACCTTTAATATTATCCTCTCAATGTGATTTTTTTAATACATTAGAATCTATAGTGTTTTCAATAGATTCAATATAGGTTTTTCCTTTGTTTTATTTTCCTAACTTTAATCAATGGTGTGATTTCTTTTCAGCCGATGTCTTTTTTTTATATACTCAAATTTTGGATGTCTTGAATCACAACCTTTTCGGATAAACCAATCCACTCACTTGACAGGCCATCACCATAAGCACACCAGCTTATCATGTAGGGTATGATGCAGGTAATTAAGCACAATGCACTAAGGAGTGGCAGTTTGGTGATGTAAACCTTTTTTAATTATAGTTAAATAATTAAAATTTAAACTCTTTCGGAACCTAATTTAGACTGTAAATTTAACAGAATGTTTCTAAAAGCAAACTTGTTATTAATTTTTTACAATCCCCCCTTGTGATTAATTTTCTAATGTCTGCAGCTTACTTTTCTAGGTAGGTCTGGTGCCTTTACAAAAATTAGTGTTGGTTATATTTTTTACTTTTTAGTGACCTCTTGGCAATTTTTATTTTGTAAAATACTTAGATAGACACCCATTTTTAACTTTTAAATATTACAATATATCTCCATTGAGTAATATTAGCATTTTGAAAATCTACAAAATTTCACTTTTCAGAGAACTGCAATAGCTCTTAATGTGTCATGTTAGTTTGTACAAATGGTACATCATTTACTAACCAACAAAAATTACAAATACATCATTCTCTATAATTAACATGATCCTGTTTTCCATTTGCTATCAGTTTTAACAGGAAAGATATCCATATAAACAGAAGAGATACATGTATATTGATACCCATGTATATTACAAGGTATATGTAACCCATGGCCATGAGACCATTGTCATGGATTACATATTCCTTGTAATAAAAAGGGACCATCTAATCTCAAGTACTATTAAGATACGTTAAGTAGTGATACGTGGTATTTTACGAGTTTACCTTCCTCTTCTTCATCCTCGTCGTCACTCTGAACTGCTGCCTTACGTTTTGGTTTTTTACGTTCCGCTGGCTGTTCGTCTTCTTCTGAATCTACCTGGAGACGTGAAAGCAAACGAAATAATGAAACGGGAAAAAACAGAATGGATAAATTGGCCTGCAATAATTGGCAAACACTTTGCACTAACCTCGCTCTCCTCCGCCTCAGATTCCAGAAAATCTGCCATATTCACTTACAATCTAGAACCTCACACTTCACTGCAACACTTTTACATAAACAAATCCTATGAAATAAAGTAATCTTCAACTAAAAATTACTTGTGAAAAGAAAAATCAGAAAAGTAAACTTGCTTGCATCGCAAACCATTCAATCAATTTAACACAGACCAATAATTTACTACGTACGTCTATACTACATCGTTCATTCATTCTCTATGTTCATTCTCCATTCTAAAATGTCAATCTCAAACTACATGTCGATAAAGCAGGTAGTTAGTGTTGCCAATCCAAATAACAGACATTTAAAATGGAACAGACGGAAGATATATATATATTTTTTATATATTTTACGTGGCAAACACACACATAACTTAGCTATTATCACCTGAGCTGAATCGAAGGTATTATTAAAATCAAGGATTTTTATACATATTCATTTGAAGTATTTAAGGCATTGCAATTTTTTAATACTGCCGATTTTAAAAAAAAATGGTTCCCGAAATCAAACAAGATGGTACTTTCTTGATTTCTCCATGACAACATTTTTAGTGCTTTCTTTTTTTCCTTAAATTACTTCCTAAATAAAACATTTGATATACAAACGTAATACACAAACATGTAATATAATTTTACATTCCTTCAGTAAAAATTGTCCTTATATTTATTAACATTATCATCTTCATTATAAACTTATATAACTTAAACATAACATACTTATCATAATTATTGATGTCAAAAAATATATAATTTAATTTATATTTTTTTACAATTAAATCTTTTAATTTTTTTATCAAAAATTAATTTTTATTTCACTCATATAATCGTGATTTAAACTAAACAATATAAAATATCAATTAACTTAATTGGCTTAATAATACACGATCATATTTAATATTATTTAGTATAAATCGTTAGAAAGTTAAATTCAAACGCTTAATGCTAATTTTATCACCTCTATTCCGGCCGATCCTCGTCTCGCAAAGCCACCCCGCGTCATCCATTAAGCTTAAAGGCGAGTTTGTATTGCAAATTATGAATGAAAACGTTATCTACTTTCTTGAACAAATATCACATATACACGCGGCTTGCTGTCTAATTGATTTGCAAGTTTACCAATATTTACGATTACAATTTCGATATGACTTTTTCTAAATTTTGCTGTACAAATATAACATATTACGTGTTCTGATATACCTCTTAATTTTTAGATATACTTTAAAATTAGCGTTGTTTATCTCGTCAGCCCTTTTACGTCCCCACTGCAGGGGCTCAGGCCTTCCTTATGGATGGTTAAGGAGGATGGGCCATGACCCTCCACGCTGGCCCAATGCGGATTGGAGGGTATTAACGACTGCAAATGCAGCCGGGACCAACGCCTTAACGTGCCTTCCGAAGCACGGAGTAGCTCGAGATAATAATTTTTTGGTCACCCATCCCGTGATCGACCCTTGCGAAAGTTGCTTATCGACTACAATCACGAGCCGCTGCGCTAATCCACTACGCCACCGAGCTACAAAAAAATAAATGTTGTTTAAACGTTGTTTATCTATTTCAGTTTAAATCGAAATATCAATATATCACATCCCAAAACCAACATATTGATATTTTTAATAAATACCAAACATTTTGTTTGCAAAAACTATAAGTGAATAAAATTTGTTTAATTATTGTTTATATATAAAAAGTATTACTAAAAGCAATAAATCAGGGTTACATAGTAATTCCCGAGTGTGAAGGGAAATGACCTTTCTCAAAGGTCACTCATATCACATTAGATTTCAAATTATTGGAATATTTGATTGCAATATATTTAGATTTCGATGTCACCATTTCTTTGAAATCGATATGTTTTTTAGGTCGACATATCGTTGCATTCCTGCGTATCACTACGTCACTACCTTAAAGAATATATACATAACATAGATATAAGGCGTAGACAGAAAAGGCAATAGGCTAATGGTATGTTTTATCTCATTCATCGGGAAATGAAATGACTTATTACAATTTTCATTAGTTAAAGTAAAAACATTATTTGTTGTCCTTATCGATGTGGCCGGTTTTTTTGTTTGGCACCAGGCTTGTTTGGCACCAAAACGTTTAAATTTTAGGCATAGATATTGTTGGACTCAAATAATATACAAAAAAGTTGGAAAGAATTGTATTTAAACAATGTTTTATATGATATATAAACTTTATATGTAAGAAACGTTACTTGCAAATTAAAATAATGGTTAAGTGCAGTGTTATATCTTGCAAAAATAGACCCGAAAGAAATATATTGTAGGTGTATCATATTTTAGATAAGTTAGAAGCAATTTGTTTAGAGTTTGGCAAGCGAAACGTGACACCACCTATTTTTCCGTTTTCATATGGCAACAACATAGAACTGTCAGTTTGACACTACGTTAGACAATTCAAGAATATTGAATTTTGTTGTTTTTGCGAATTTGAACTTGTGTTTTTGGTTAAAAATTATGTCGAAGCCGATAAAAAGTTCATCGAGGAAACTTCTTTCCATCATGATTGACAAGTTTACTGAAGTGAAAACTGAATTAAATAAAAATTTCATGGAGAAATTACAACGATTAGATAAAGTTGTATCTTTTTTAGGTTAGTTTTGTATTATAATTTTGATACTTTCGTTTTAATTTTCTGTAATTAACTAAACAGATATTTTTTATAAAATATTGCTCTATTTCAGATAACTGTGATGGTGATATTCAACCAATAATGGAGGAGATAAATGCAATAAAAACTTTAGAAAAACAAGAAATGCTGAATTCGGAAACGCAGTACTTACAAAAAATTTCTTCAATGACAGGTCTCTTTTCTTGTTTTGATTTAAGATAGATTGATAGTATTCCTATAATATTTACATAGGTTTTTTATGATGTATTTGTTTTTATTGTTGACATCCAATGATGTCATAAGAATGTTTTGTTTAACAAGGAAATTCACAGAATTCATGAAACTAATCAAACCATGTAATTGTTATACATGCTAAATATGCACATAAACTTAACTAAATTAAACATAAATTGCATTCATAGTTGAATAGGTATTTAAATTATTTTGATGTATGTGTCTATCATTATTTGCTTTTAAATACATTTAACATATCTTTGTTTCAAAGTGTTTAATCTTTTATAGATGTAAGTATAAGGACACTAAGAAGGATAAAAAATGAAGCATTAATTAATAAAGGAAAATGGGACACTCCTGGGAAAAAACGACCTCATCAACCAACAGTGTCTGCTTTAGATAATTTTGATTTAAGTGCAATTCGGAATAAAGTAAATGAATTTTACTGTGTGAAAAAAATTGTTCCAACATTAAGAAGCCTTCACAATGAATTAAAAGATGCAATAGGATTCAGTGGTAGCCGTGAGACTTTACGAAAAATTATGCTTAAGAATGGATTTTCTTTTAAAAGCAATGAAAATGAACGTTCTATGCTTATAGAAAAATACCAGATTTCTGCATGGAGGCACAAGTATTTGAGAGAAATAAATATAAAACGAAACGAAGGAAAGCAAATTGTGTACCTTGATGAAACTTATGTACATCAGAATTATAAAGTTAAAAAGTCTTGGCAAGGACCTTCAACAACTGGTGTCACTACAAAGATATCCTCTGGAAAACGGCATATTGTTGTGCATGCTGGATCTGAGGAAGGTTTTGTGCCTGGTGCATTATTAGTGTTCAGTAGTAAATCCAAATCTGCTGATTATCATGATGATATGAACTCATCGAACTTTATGAAATGGGTCAGAGAAAAATTAATACCAAATTTAAGTAAGCCCAGTGTAATTGTTATGGATAATGCCAGCTACCATATAAAACAAATCAATAAACCGCCTATAATGTCTAATACCAAAGCAGATATCCGTAAATGGCTTGTAAATAATGGAATACATTTTGAGGAATATCAGACAAAGGCAGAGTTAATGTGTTTGGTTAATGATAAGAAAACATTGCCTGTATATGAAGCTGAAGAGATTTTAAAAGAACATAATCATGAACTTTTATTGCTGCCACCGTATCATTGTGACTTAAACCCAATAGAGATGGTTTGGAGTCAAGCAAAAAGAAAAATTGCAAGCAGAAACATTGGAATACCAGGAAAGGAAATGGAAAACTTAATAATAGAGTGTTTTAACTTAATTACCCCTAGTGACTGGAAGAAATACACTGATCATGTTTTAAATGTCGAAAATGATTACAAATTAAAAGATGGCATTGTTGAAAACGAACTTGAAAAATTTATTATATCTGTTGGTGCAGACAGTAGTGAAGAGAGTGACTCTGATGATTCCTTGTCATTGTTATCAGGTGTAGAATATTTAGAAACAGATTTTGACTATGAATCAGACTAAAGTATTTTTAGTCTGATTCATAGTCAAAATCTTATCTTAAATTTTCTATTGTGATTAACATGATGATTTTGTGACACCTGTATTATGTAATTTATCCATGGCACTTAATTGTAACAAAAATAAATGTTTTTTTTATTGTAATCTGGTGTTTATATTGACTAATTTAATTTGATAGATAGTGGTTCTGGATCAGAGCAAAAGGTTGTGATGAAAATCCCTTAGGAGACATGTATGTGTTATGAACACATTATAAATATAAGGGCCAGAAATCAAAATTGGCTAACATCACATTTATTAAAAAAATGTGGCCAGAGTCGCCCATATTCATTACAAAAAAACAAAGAAGTCGTTGCAAAAAACACCCTTTTAATTAATGACAAATATGAATTTTTAATATTATAAGTGCTGTTAGCCAATAGGTATAACGAATGGGTTAAAAAAAAGATTCAATTTAGTCCGTCAGTCGGATAATAGAAAAATATTGGATACGTATTTTTTTTCGCTTTAATTTAACAACAAATGGCTTAAGAGGTACTATGCGACGACTTCAAATATGCTTTGCAACAATGTTACTTTAATACAGTTTATCGATACGAAATCAAGTGTCAAAATGGAGTCCAGTGGAGAATGCCGATATTGACATTTCGAAATTGCTCATCATTGATAGAGAATACGAAATAGTGATTTTGACACAATCAAAGTGTCTATTTTTTACGGTGATGACGATTCTTGGTTGTCAGTTGAGTTAGTGAATAGGCCTACTGATATGCTGTTAACTGTACAATTAAGAACAGTCACGCTTTAGTCAAATGTTCCAAAACAAATAATTTTAATTGATATCTAAATGTTAAGATTAAATATAATTAATAAAAGTATCAAAATTATTTTGCAGTACTACATTCAGTGTTTACTGCTTAAGAATTTTTGAAATTGCCGCCCTTTTCTTGTGACACGTTTCGCTTGCCAGACTCTATTTCTTCGTCAAGGTAAAATTTCTCATTGCCATAACTGATGTGAATTTTATTAAATACGACACAAAACAAGCTGAAAATATTATTTAATAAGTTGAATAAGAATATAAACTCAAATTATTAATGCTGACATCTAAGTGCTTAAAATCTCCCCTCAAAGTGCATTGAAATTAAAATTATCAATATTCTGTTAAACAAATATCAAAATGTTTGAAACTCAACTATTTTCTAAGTACATAGAACTATAAAATGCGATTGAAATAAACAATCGGGCAGTTTTTAGACTTTTGATTAAAATAAATCCAAGTTTGTAACCTAAAATATTAGCATTTAAAGCCTGTCAGTAAAGTTTCAACTCAACTTCAACTTATTTCAACTTATTTAATAGTATTTTTAGCTTGTTTTGTATCGTATTTAATAAAATTCACATTGGTTATAGCAATGAGAAATTTTACCGTCACGAAGAAATAAACAAAATGCTTCTAACTTACCTGAAATATGATAAACCTACAATATTTCTTTCGGATCTATTTTTGCAAGATATAACACTGCACTTAAACATTATTTTAATTGCAAGTAACGTTTTTTACATATAAACTTTATACATCATATAAAATATTGTTTAAATACACTTCTTTCCAACTTTTTTTGTATATTATTTGAGTCCAACAATTTTTATGCCTAAAACCTTGATGTTTTGGTGCCAAACAAGCCTGGTGCCAAACGAAAAAACCGGCCACATCGATAAGGACAACAAATAATGTTTTTATCTCACTTTAACTAATGAAAATTGTAATAAGTCATTTCATTTCCCGATGAATGAAATAGAACATACCATTAGTCTATTGTCTTCTCTGTCTACGACGTAGTACCTATCTTTGATAAGAGTACCTATAGTATAGATCAACGAGTAGTATTATAATCTCTTGGAGTAAATGTGTTCTTCTGTGATTATAATTGGATTACAATACCTGTCTACAATATATTTGTTTCATCTTCTTCTTGGTCTGTGATTTGTTTGTACTGGTGTGGTTACGGCTGAAGGCCATGGAAGCCAGGGCCGGTAAAACCTTTAAAAAAAAAAAAACTGGTGTGGTTTGTGTAGTGATTTGTTTTTAGGGTTCGAAGTATCGGCTTCTGTTCACGATACAGAATATCGGTATCGGTATCGACCCTAGGTATCGATACCCGAAAAGTATCAATCTAAAAGTATCGATACTACTCAGTATCGATACTTTTTTGGAGGCATGATCACAGCATGATTTTGTTTTCGTGGAATGCAGTAATTTATATACTAAGTACGAGTATAACATTGTATAATATAATCATTTATTTAGAGAATAGAAGTAAAAACCTATGGATGTGTGGCATATCTGTGTAATGATCTTTATCACTCTGTGGCAACGTAATCTATGACTTTTGTAATTTGTAAGTGGCACTTCAACATCAAGGAGTCCGAAAGTAAACTCATACCTGCGAACACGCTTATTCATTTTACCGACCCTTCGTATTAATAGTCAGATAGTCAACTTATCAATAAGTTAAATATCATCATAATACCAATAAATAAATACCCAAAACACATTCGGTAAAGATGTAATGTACTTTACCTATAGAAAGTAAGGTTGAAATGAAAGACTATTAAATTTATTTAATTCGTTTTTTACCAAATAAACTACGCCTGGGCCGGCTGGCTTTAAAACATAATTTGCATTTTGCAGAGTTTTTACCCGTTTTCTCAAAGAATTTCCACACGGTACTAATACCACTTTTACCAGCGCTGCTCATTTTTTATCAAGATAATGAAATGAAAAAATCTTATCACAACACAAAATAGCACAATTGGGCGCGAAGAAAAAAGGAACGAAGGAAGAAATTTATTGAATGAACCATAGAGAAGACTATGAATTCACGAACTAAAAATCATTCATTCATTCCTTTCAGCTGCGCTGCGTTCAAGATTTTTAAGTCAAATCTGGGGATGCGATTTGCTAAAAATCGCTGGGTGCATTCCAGCAGACCAATTGCTAAGTCACCGATCTCCACCGTATACATTTTAACCATGGAAAGTAATTTGTTTTAAGTAGTGACAAAAAGTACTCGATATTTTAAAAACAGACTAGTCGATACCGCGATCCTGTCGATACCTTGATGTTCAAGTATCGATACTAAAATATCGAGTATCGAGTGTAAAGTATCGATACTTCATAAGTATCGAAAGTATCGTTCGATCTCTATTTGTTTTGTTAAATTTGTTTATTTTGATGAATGTGCAACAGATTTTGTCTTAGTACAAAAATCTATTTATTAACTCATTCAAATAAACTCTCTTATTACGTCATTCAAGAAAACTCTCTAGTCTTTTTATTTAGAAATGAACAATAAAACTCCAATAGTGAAAACTGTAATTCACGCTGGTCGAGAATACATTCCCATTGTGCATGGAAGTAAGGTAAAAATGTGATTGGATAATATATTTTGATTAATTTTGCATTAACTATGCTATATTGATTCTTATAATAAATGTTTAAAAATACAAAATATTGTTAAAGAAATATTTTGACACATTCCTCCACATAGTGTATTATTTTTAATTATTACAGGTACATTTTCATTTTGAAACATGGAAATTAGGAAAGGAAAGAGTCCTCATCGATAATAGCAAAGTTATTGGGAAAAAAGAACCAATGGTATTGATCATCGGTCATAAATTTAAACTAGAAGTTTGGGAGACCATTGTGAAAAAGATGACTGTGGGTGAAGTTGCTAGCTTCAAAGTTCCGAAAGAGGTGAAGAATTCAGTATAATTTTAGGTTACTCCATTAATTTCTAACTTTAGTCCTATAATATTTCACATGTACACTTATTAGAAGGAATATGGTAACACTTAAATTTTGTGTTTTTTCCCTAGTTGGTATTTAGTTACCCGTTTGTATCTAAGACATTGAGAGAACTCGGAAAAGATGTTAAAACCATCAAACACTCATGTACAATGACTCTACAGACAGAAGGTATCGGCTATACAGATCTCGATGACTTGATACGCAATCCATGTGACTTAGAATTCATAATAGGTACCTATAATCTATTAATATTAATCTATGTTACAAATTCTATGACTTCTATTTACAAAATTAGTGATTGTTTTAAATATTTGTATAATATACTAGTCAGTGGATCATAAAAAAAAAATGAATATTTATCTAATTTCAACCATCTTATTATAGAACTATTAAAAGTAGAAAGAGCAGATGAATATGAAAAAGAGTTCTGGCAGTTAAATGTTAAAGAAAGGGTAAACCTTGTACCAGTTCTCAAAGAGAAGGGCAACAAATTATTCAGAGAAAATAAATTTGCTGAAGCCGAGGAGGCTTACAGCCAAGCTATTGCAATTTGTGAACAACTAATGAACAGGTAACTTTATAATAGTGATATTTAATTTCCAACTTGATTTAATATTCAAAATAATAATTCTCTTATTATTAGTACTGTCTTATTCATCCTGATAGATTCTGTTATATTATATTGTATATGGCAATTGTATAAGACATCTATGTGTCAAACAGTAATTTGCTTAATTTTTTCACAGGGAAAGGAAGACTGATGAAGAATGGATTAATTTGAATAATATTAAACTTCCTATATTACTCAATTACACACAATGCAAGCTTAAAAGCGGAGATTACTATGCAGTGATAGAGCATTGCAATACTATATTGCAGTATGATAAAAGTGAGTAACACTGATGCAAAAATTATGTTGAACACTATTTATTCCTTAAATATAATTAATTATAATAACATTATTATTAAAATCTGTTGTTTTATATTTACAGATAATGAAAAAGCTTTATACAGAAGGGCAAAAGCACATGTAGGTGCTTGGAATCCTGATAAAGCAGAGGAAGATTTCAAAAGGCTGAAAGAATTGAACCCCTCAATGTCAATTATGGTGAAAAATGAATTGGAAACTATAAGAAAATTAAGACATGAAAAGGAGCAATGTGACAAAGATGCATTAAAAAAAATGTTTAATAAAGACGAACAAATGTAGATGTGAGATTTTAATCTTCACACAAAATACCAAAGCTACAATTGTACTGTGTAAGGTCGGTTATATCTTTAGGTATTCTTTATCTTATAATTAGTATTTATTGTTCAAATGAGTACATATTATTGCTGTAATCATATAAGAAAAATATTTATACTTATGTGTATAGTTTGTTAATTTTGTGTTTATGTTTTATGTAAATTAACAGTTAATGTTATTGATTTAAATATTTACCACCATACTGGAATTACAATATTAATATTATAGGAACTTTTACGCTTAATATACATTGTGTACCTTATGATAAAACGGCTATTTTATACAAATTAATACTGAAAAAGTCACAAAGTGCCCTCCAAGAGATGTAATAACTTTAAATTTTTATATAATGACTTCATAATACCTACCAAGTCCTTGACTAAGCGATTAACATTTTGGAATATATTTTTTATACATACTTCTAAGTGGAAGGAAATATAAAAGGTGCTTTAATAAATTCAAGTTATATTTATTCATAAAATCTGTTTTTGCCAAGGCATTCGCTAACAATTACTTGTATATCATTTAAAAAATCATAGTATATCATTTCAAACCATTGAAGCATTCATTATTAGAATGGTTGGTTTAGTTGGAATTTTCAAAATATTGTCATTATACTTTTCCCCCCCCAAAACTTTTATAATAGGATTAGAATTAACATATCTACCTCTAATCTCTGTTAATACTTATTATATTGAAATAAATTGACTAGTTAATGTAATATGCAAATCATTTATTTTATTTTATAATATTATTTTGGTACTTATAGATAATAAAGAGTTTAATGCTACATCGTAAAGTGAACATGATAATATTGCAGTAAGCTAATATTGCAAAAATAACGACTGCAGACGGTGCATTGCGTAAAGTAACTTAAATATAGGTAATGTTTTTTATCAAGCTTATTTTCGCTTTAATGACATGAAATATGGCTGTATGTATTCATATTGTATGAAATCTTTTGATATTTAAAAAAAATGTTAGAAACGGCTGCATTGGAAAGGTCCCTCTGTTTTACATGCATTAAAAAACAATCTCCTGAAAGAGATGTCATCATTACAATAATATCGATAAATCAAAATTAACGATGCGACTCAAATAGCAATTTGTGACTTGAGTCGCTCGGGCACTTAATAAGAAGCTCACTAGATGGCTACTCTACTAAAAGTTATTTTTTGCAGGAAATGAATGGATCAAAGATAGACATTTCCGTTAATTTTAACTAACATATTTAAATATTTGCAAATTTCGAAACTTAGATATCAATACAATTACGAAAAGGTACAAATAGTCTGATACAAATATGAGAAAATCGGAAATAATTCGATATAAGCCTAGAATATTTTTACTCAAGTTTGTGAGCCAATTACAAGAGACTATATTTAAGAATCCATCTCGTTTAAGCTACGGAAGGTATAAAAAAAAACATCAAGTCAAAAACCTTCATTTCTTTCACGCAAAATTACTAACACGACTTTTTTTTATAAATTTTGGTTTTATTTATCATAGTGACAATGAAAATTACTGAAATCCACTAATAAAAATACGGGAAATAGTGATTTTTAGTAAACTTTATTTTTTTTTTAGTTCTATTCATATTATAGTCATGAAAAAATATAATATAAGTTATGTAATAAGTGTTTTGTATTAGGACAATAAAACCTTTTCGGTAGTTGGGTTTCAAAATCAACCCTGCTTCATAAATAATTATAAGGCTATTGGTATGCAATATTCCTATGGAAATTTTCATTGGATTCAAAACAAAATATACTTAACGCAATATAGTAATATCGATTAAAGTCGTATTTCATTGTTAATATTATTGATTTTTTACAAATATTTTTTAAATATTTAATGTCCGTGTTTTTATAAAAATGTGTGTTTCCAAATATAATATTAGGAATATTTATGTATTTCATGGAAGTAACAGCGTGAAATACGTAGAAGTCACTTTATACGTATGTTTTTTATCATGCCATTGAGAAATTAAAGGATTTTTTAATTTTTTTATTAATAATCCGAAAGAAAATGTCGATGGATTAATTCATAATTAAAAAGGAAATATATGATACCCTTATAATAAAAAAAAAACAGCTGTTATGTTTTAATGTTTGATCTCCATACTGAAAGTTGGTATATTTGTATCAGGCTAATAGAATATGAGTTGTTTATTGAGATCTGAAAATTAATATACTTTCGTACATGAAAGAAAACTCCATGACAACTCTGTCATGGAGAAATCAAGAAAGTACCGTAGCGACATCCAGTTTGATATCGGGTATTTTTTTTTTAATACTTCCTTATTAACTACTTCACTCGAGTTTTCGAGTGATTTGAGTAAACAAATTTCAAACGTGCTATTCGAGTGAGATGTCTCCTAACATACATAATATGAATAGGTAATTTAAAAAAATAAGCGGCATAGATTAATAAATTAGAGTAGCGAAGTGATATCTAGTGGCAAGATAATCAAGTCGATGCGCCGAGTTGACTCGATGACTCAAGTGCATTGAGGCTCAAATGATACATTTTTCACTAGAGTACAAATTTGAAAAATGCATCTCTAATTAAAATTATTTCGAGCGAATGAGTATAATGTAAAAGGGTTATTAAATTTTGCTTTTAAAAAATATTCTCATAATCGTAAGATCAATGTGTTAAGATTTTTTCAAAATGAATGATTTTACATTAATATTTTCCTCAAAGAAATTCATGCACAAATACATTTTAGTTTTACTAGTAAGCATCTGTTTTGGTCTTAGTTTAACAATGAAAAAATATATCGATAATTCACATCCTTATTTGAACAATATAAATATAACCTCAAATCAATGTGATTAGTTTTACTTACTGTTAAAATTATTTTATCAAAATAATGACGGATAATAATGCAATTATGACTGAAAAGAATCCTGATAATAATGAAGACGTGACAGACGAATATGCTTATCTTGAACGGGGAGGTTTCTCATCAGAGAAGTTTAAAATCGAGCTCAGAGGACTACCGAAGTTTTACGGAATCGTGGTGAAGTTTTTATTTTATTTTTTGTAACTTTATTATATTATTATTTCATAAGCGACGATTTGTATAGCAGAGTAACCAGTACACTGACTCTTACATCGGGTATCTGTTTGAATTTCCCGGTAAAACACGATGTAGGAATTTAGATACATCCTATTTAATTTTGAACCTCGGTGCTTGTGTTTTCTACTAAATTTTATATCATAAGTAAGTGATTTTACAAGTTCGTTGAATACTAAACCATTTTATTAAATATATACCCTTTTTACAGGAATTAAAAAAGCTTATGAATCAGAAGCTTGGTCTCAATACGAGCAAGATAAAAAGACCAAAGAATGGTAGCCACTGGCTGTATGCTTGCTTCCAAAATAATGAAGACAGGAGTAAAGCCATTGATGCCCTCAATGGATTCTCATGGAAAGGTATTTTATTGTTGACTAAGATTAGTTATGATGTATAATCTTATTAGCACAAAATTAACACTCATTGTTACAATAAAATACAGAAATTTACCTGTGACTCAAGTTTAAATAACACATTTCAGGTAAAACTCTCATAGCAGAAATAGCGAAGCCTGCACCAGACCCTCTAGTAAGAAAGAGAAAACACGAAGATGGCAATGTTGAACATGATAAGAAAAAGAAGGATAATGGCAAGAGTCAAGAAGAAAGGTTGAAGGATTCTACAACTCCATATTGGAATATGCCTTATGAAGAACAGGTAATTATGTGCCATTTGTTATGTACACATAGACAATTATTTTATAGTAATACCCAGTATAGTATTATAGTATCTGTGATTAATACAAACAAATGGTCTATAGCACTTAAACTGTAAACATAATATTTACATAAATATACTGATAACATTAAGATTTTATTTTTACAGCTTCAAGTCAAAGAAAAAGAAATTAGAAATATATTAATGAAATTTGATAATGAAGTTTGGAAAATAAGCAAAGAAAGAAGAAATGATATTGAAACAAAACGTAAACTTTATAAAGGATTAAGCTTTGAACTTCTTTCTATAATGAAGTCACCTGTAACAGAAGGTTATAGAAATAAGTGTGAATTTACTGTCGGAATAGATGATGAAACAAAATTACCTACTGTTGGCTTTCGGTTGGGTAGTTATGTCACAGGAACTGTTGGAGTAGCCCCCATACAATCTTTGAACCATATTTCAGAGGCAATGAAGAAAGCTGTTCTAGTAAGTATAGGTTGTTAAAAGAAATCTTTTATATTTATTTATGGTGGATATGAATTCTGTTATACTAAATCTAAGTCTATCCATACTTAACCAATGAATGAAATGCAGTAGAATCGTTTGTTATGCCTCTATCTAATTAATCAATTCTTTCATATGTAATCACAGGGAAAATTTTTGTTTTCATATAATAATAATAAGCCTTTATTCATAAGACCATTAAAAGTTTTCATATAAAATCATCAAATAAAATTTGGTTATAATGACTTTTAAAAGAAACGACACTCATTGATATCAAAGCATAACTCCTTTATATATTCAATTACCCAGAAATATTATGATATTTACTTCTGTCAATGTAATAATCAAATACAGGCTTGCACATCATTTTATTATATATTGTAAAACAGATATTCATTTATTAATGAAAAATGCTAAAAAATCCACTTTGTCCCTGGTGAGATGGGATTTGAATCCACGACCTTTCGTAATCCAAGCGACTGCTTTAACCACTGAGCTACCCAGGATCTAACAGTACTGACGAATTCTTCAGGCACTTGTACCTGTTTTGCTACTACGGAGCATATTTTCATCAATGTGCAGGTAATCCACCCAAATGAGAAAAGTAATAAGGGCTTGAAGCATTTGTCAGTCCTGTAAAATTTATTATATTGATAAGGCAAATGTAATTTAAAAACTATTAATAAATAATTGTTAATTTACTGCAGATATTTGAACAGTTTGTGAGGAAGTCTGAGCTGGCTCCATTCTCACCGGCAGACTATTCAGGTTATTGGAGATATCTGACTGTGAGACATTCCTCGTTTACTGGAGATGTCATGCTTATTGTTGCAATGCATCCTCAGGTAATACTTAAGATTAAATATTTATACAGTATCTTTAATGAAAGTAAACCTCGTTTGGAAACTAAACACCAGAAAACAAAGGAGCCTTTTAATTCTATTTCCAAAATGAGTAACAGCTTTAAAATTTTCAATTACCAAAATGTCCGATTCCCAAAATGTCCACTCCATGAAATGGCCAGCTCCTAAAATGTCCAATCCACGAAATGTCCAGCTTTCAAAACGTCAAATTTGTGAAGTGTTCAATTCTCAAAATGTTTAATTTAGTATCTATTGTTTAACTGTGTATTTATCAAACCCATCATGATAATAGATTAGCAATTTAAGGAACTGGATATTTCAGGAATTCTTCTGTTTAATTAATGTGTTGCCCTTGTGGATTTTGCCAGAATCCAGTGTTTCGCTCAGTTTGTTGAACATATCGGTTACTGGTCATGTCAGGGATAGGACATTTCGGAAACTGGACATTCCCGGAATTGAACATTATGAACTGAAAGGCACGGGAGGTGCAATATATGAAGGCAGAATAAAATATATTTTCTGTCTACTAAGGAAAAGGAATGAACAAAATTCAGATTGTATAAGTACTTGTTTATACACTAAAATGTTTCACCTTGTTTACCTTTGGACTCAACTGTAGGTATGTGCGTAGCCGCTATTCTTTATTTACTATCGTGTTGGAGACTAATTATCATTACTGATGAAAATTCCATCCATCATCCATCAGCCCTTTTACGTCTCCACTGTAGGAGCTCAGGCCTTCCTTATGGATGGTTAAGGAGGATGGGCCATGACCCTCCACGCTGGCCCATTGCGGATTGGAGGGTATTAACGACTGCAAATGCAGCCGGGACCAACGGCTTAACGTGCCTTCCGAAGCACGGAGTAGCTCGAGAAACTAATTTTTTGGTCACCCATCCCGTGACCGACCCTTGCGAAAGTTGCTTAACGACCACGATCGTGGGCCGCGGCGCTTATCCACTACGCCACCGAGCTACCGAAGATGAAAACGAGCTGAGATGAAAATTATCATTGCATAATTCATTTATTTTAGAATTTAACTGAAGAAGAGTTACAGAAAATCAAAGATGGCCTTATTGAGCATTTTAGTTCAGCAAACTCTGAGGCTTGCGGTATTAAGTCTGTATATTTTGAGCTCATCACCAAGAAGTAAGTTGATTATTAAGAAAAAAAAATTAGTAAAAAAAAAATTTATTGTTCCTTTTTACCTAGAAAAAAAAATTAATCATTTTTTTTTGTTTCAGGAGGGTCGGTGAAGATGGTTCTAAACCAATCCATTTGATGGGATCCACTCACTTAATAGATACCATTCTTGGACATCAGTTTAGAATATCTCCAGAAGCTTTTTTTCAGGTATTATAAGCTATCATACGCTATTAAAAGAAATGTGTCGCTTTGTGTATTTTAATTTATTATAAGTCTTGAATATCATGGCTACGAAATATTATATAATAGAAATACAATCGAAATTGGATAAACGAGATTTGGAGAAACCACAACTTTTTTTACACTCGCTCATCCGAGTTTCCAACTTACAGAGCATTGAGAGAGTGGCCTTTCTCACTTCTAGAGGCCTATCATGTTGCATTTTAAATTTTTGTAACAAGCTATTGCTAAAACTTTTAAATTCTCAAGTTTTGTAGTCAATATTTGGGAAGGTCAATCTTTAGGTATTTGTTTGATCACGGGTCCGTCTATTAAAAACAAAACAATAGTTTACTTTCCACAGATCAACAGATCATAATTACCATATTTTTAATTGGTTTGACTTGTGAACCTTTATCACAAGTGAAAAACGGTTTACTCTTATGGAGGTTTTTGTTTCCAACCTATACGGTTTTAGAGGGATAAAACATCGGGACCTGACCTTGGTTCTCATATATAGTTCATGTTCGATTATATATCAAGCATATAGAAGACTCTGAAGTATTTGTATTATGTATTAAGATGATTTTGACGCGCAACTAATACTAGCGCCCGGAGGCCTAGTACCCCACATGTCTACTCTAGGTTCGGCCGTACCTAGGATCAGCTAATAAGTCATTAATATAATAGGGGTGTAGTCAACATTTTTTAAATATTTTTATTTTATTTTATAAAAGAAATACATGAAATATAACCTAAAAAAATATATTTAAAAGTATAATTCATATAATAAGTTAAATTATAAATTTAATTAAAAAATTTCCCACGAATACGCCTTCTGGCATGGCGTCGCTATGACGCCACGGCCTTCTAAAACTAATATCGTTCTCCACGCTATTTTCGGTCACGTGACAACGAGTGTAAAATATTTATTTTATCATAACTAATGTAAGCAATATAAAAAACATAAACGTGTGATTATAGTTAAACGTGTGATATTGAGTAGCTCGGTGGCGTAGTGGATAAGCGCCGCGGCCCGCGATCGTTGTTGTTAAGCAACTTTCGCTAGGGTCGTTCACGGGATGGGTGGCCAAAAAATTATTATCTCGAGCTACTCCGTGCTTCGGAAGGCACGTTAAGCCGTTGGTCCCGGCTGCATTTGCAGTCGTTAATACCCTCCAATCCGCATTGGGCCAGCGTGGAGGGTCATGGCCCATCCTCCTTAACCATCCATAAGGAAGGCCTGATCCCCTGCAGTGGGGACGTAAAAGGGCTAATGATGATGATGATGATGTGTGATTATCGGTAATAGTATATTGAAGACTACCAGAAGAAAAATGTATTTTTTTTTTACTGTATTATGTAAAGGTAAACACGGCGGGCGCGAATATCCTCTATCAAAGTGCAATTGATATGAGTCGGGTATCGCAGGAGTCTACTGTCGTCGACATTTGCTGTGGCACTGGCACCATAGGCTTGTGCTTCGCTAAGGTATTACCTTTTATAATGATACTTTGATTAAAAAACAAAAGATATTAACCGAAGGTAAATTTAAATACGGTAAAATAAACAAGAAACTATTATTATTATATTAGATACCGAATATTGTTAAGAGCTGGTATTCTGGCTAAAATTTATGCCAATTGAGTTCACTATCAGACAATTTATTCGCCCAAGAAAAGTCACAAACAATCCCGATAGCAAAATACAGCACACCTTAAGTTTAATGCCTGTTATCTAAGTATTTTACAAGAAATAGTTTCCATAACAAGTATTCAACTTAAGGAGTGAGGGCTCGCAACGTTAAAAAAAAATTTCCAATATTAAAAGAAAATGTAAGTATCCAATATTTTTCTGTTAACTGATAAATGGATTAAATATACATTTTTTTTTTACCCAGTCATCATCCCTAGTGTAGCCAATATCACGGGCGTATGATATAGCTGCCTGTATGTAGTAAAAATAATTTTCAAAAACGGTCCAATAGTTTTAGATTCTATTCAAAGCAAACAAATATCAAATCTAGGTATTTATATTATTAGTATATGGTTAAATAATAAATGTATGCGCAGCATTGCAGCAAAGTGCTCGGCTTGGAGCTTATCCCGGAAGCTGTGAAAGATGCAAAGGCGAATGCTGAACTGAACGGCATAGAGAATTGCGAATTCTTCACGGGAAAGGCGGAGGACATTCTACCTTCTGTACTAGCAAGGGCGACGGGAGAAGACCTGATTGCAATAGTGGACCCACCCAGAGCGGGCCTGCGTGAGTCTTATGTGACATGTTTTTATTTCACACTAGCTATTTATTTGCGACTTCGCTCGCGTAAATTATAGGGGAAGCTCCTTATTTACGGCTTTCCTACTCGCGTTTTCATTATTCACAGATAATTTTTTTTAACTCAATTTCTGTTTTCTGTAAAGGGATTCTGCATCGTCATCTTTTAATTATGTATCAAGATGGATTAAGTTATAGAAGCCTTATTATTTTTGCTTTGTTGTAGCAATCATAAAATACTTTAAAAAAGCTATACATATTATAAAACCTACAGCCCTTATTTAGTTATGAATCTGAATTTAATAATCTTTAAAAACTGCAAAAAAGGAAAATCAATAAAATATTTAATAACCCTTTTAAAGGTAATAATTAAGATTGATAATAATTGGTAGTTACTCAATAAATGGAATTTATTTTTATTTATTTTGGCACCTTGGAATGTATATCCTATAATTCTATACTAAATGCCATCCGATGTGTTCGCAGCATATCCACTACGAATAAGGAGCTTATAATGTATAGTTAAAATCACCCGTGTATGATGTAACTATAGCGTATACTAATATACAAACAAGGTTAGAAATTTACCACTTTATAATATTGGTATAGTTTATTTTTAATATTTAAGATTGTCCAGATAGTTTTCACTTCACTAGTTTTCGTTTCAAGTATCGCTTGTATTCGTTCCCGTTTTCAGTTCACTTGTCATTGAAAGAATGTCGGGGCGGGTAGCCCACCGGGTATTTATTTATAGGGGCCAATACCACATCTAGAATGTTTTAGGTTAGGATCTAGAATGTTGTAGGTTAGGACCTAGAACATTCTTGGTTAACCTCGGCCCTACCGACGTATTCGAGGCATTAGTTCTAGAAAGTTCTAGACTATCTACCCGTCCCTTTCTTCCCCATTGACCGTCCCAATCTGGCTGACCTGATTTTTTTTTTTTTTTCGGTTCTCAACCTTATGGGTTCGTAACCACCTTCCCATCAACGGAGGAAGGAGGCGGTGAATCCGTCATTGGATACCAACACAGCCGGCTGTGAGGGTTATGTCAGACTCCTACTGACTAAACACCGCCTTGGACTAATGGTTACATACATACCCGGAGGCAACGAACCTTCATCGGAGCGAGCTGACCTGATATACTTAATTCTATATGACACACGTAGTTTCGACATTGCTTGCGCGATTGATTGACGTATAACGCCATCTAGTAATGTGTAGACGAACCGCGATGCTGCACTCCATAACAGGATGTTTGTGATACTGAATGTCAATGTGGTAAATAGGCCTTAAAACAAGCAACTTCTTACTATCCAGACATGCGAGCAGTAACTCAGCTCCGGAACACGAAAAAGGTGAAGAGGCTAGTATACATCTCGTGTAGTCCGGCCTCAGCGGTGAAGAACTTCGTGGATTTGTCTAGGGCTTCATCGAAAACCCTTCGCGGTGCACCGTTTATGCCTGTCCGAGCTGTGCCAGTCGATATGTTCCCACATACGAAACACGTCGAACTGGCGATCCTCTTTGAAAGAGAGGTGAGTGAATAGCCAGGCCCGGATCTAGGGGGGCGGGCGCCAATACTGTTTTAATAAATTGATATGGATGCTTATGTCTACAAAAAACATTATGTAAATAAGCCTTATTATCTACTCAAAACCCAGTAGAGGCGCAGTGGCTGGCACAATCATTCTGTGATACGGCCGGTCATAGGATTAGTGATCATAAATTTGTTCCGTGCTTCGGAAGGCACGTTAAGCCGTCGGTCCTGGCTGCATCTGCAGTCGTTAATACCCACCACCACCACCACCAGCCCTTTTACGTCCCCACTGCAGGGGCTCAGGCCTTCCTTATGGATGGTTAAGGAGGATGGGCCATGACCCTCCACGCTGGCCCAATGCGGATTGGAGGGTATTAACGACTGCAAATGCAGCCGGGACCAACGGCTTAACGTGCCTTCCGAAGCACGGAGTAGCTCGAGATAATAATTTTTGGTCACCCATCCCGTGACCAACCCTTGCGAAAGTTGCTTAACGACTACGATCGCAGGCCACGGCGCTTATCCACTACGCCACCGAGCTACACCAATCTGTAAAAATACCCACCAATCTGTAAAAAATGTAAATGTCGACTCGTTCGTGGCGTCAATAAAAAGGTTTTTCGTTAAATAAAACACAAAAATTACATTTTTTTAAATCTTCAATAAATTATATTACATTACGGACGTTTTTACACTTTCCCAGAATTTTATTGTCAATTTACCCACAAATGACGTCACGCGCTCTGATATCTATTTCGTTTGACGTGAGACACAGACTACAAATACTACTAATAAGTCAAACTAAGGGACGGTTTCACCAGTTGCTGATAAAGTCCCTGATAGTCTATTAGGAACTTATCTGCTAGATAAACTACATCTTTTGATTGTTTAATTAACAAAAAATAACTTTTAATTTCAACCAAACATATTTCTTTATCTAAATGCTGTCCGACCCCGTATTAGCAGAGAAATTTAATAGAAAGTTAAAGCATGTGAAGTCAGTTATAATATTGTATTGTTTTTTGTTACTGTTTGCATTAAAGATGTGTATGTATTTGTCTACAGGAAACTAAAGAAAATCAAAATAACACTGCGGCTGAAAATCCCATACAAAGTGAAACAGATTTAACCAATGATGATTCAATGGCAGAATGACGTTATATTAACATGGACATAGCGCTCCTTTAGGCCATGAAAAAAATATGCAAACGCAAATAATTTCCGAAAAATTTACCTAAGTTCTAAATATGTAACTGTTTAATACATACATTGCAATAATACATACATTACTTTTAAATTAGTAATTAAAACATAATTCTATGAATTTCGAAGGTTTGATTTAATTATAAGCATAACAACTCATTGAATTTTTCAATATTTTTCCAAAATTAAATAGATATTTGTACACTTGTTTTTAATAAATAGTGTAAAATATGTTCACGTTGCTATTCACAAATCATGTCCAAACAATGTTTTGTTAAGGAAATCATTGTTACATTATGTAATTAAATATATAAGTATTGTTCATTCGAGTTTCATTGAATAATCCATTATATTAGAAGTTATTTCGAATAAAGAAAATGCAATTTTCCTTATTGTTCCGAGGCTGGATGATGTGGTTGGTGTCTCCGTCTGAAATGAACAATTTATAGGATATCCCACGCGAAGCGAACAGGTAAAAAAAAATGATTTTCCAATTTCAATAATATTTGTGTATGTTCTACTTATACATGTTCTTGATATGTGTACCAAAATTTTTGTAATATGGTGCCTGGTTAGAGAGTTAAAAGACAGAAATTTGAGCAACCGGTGGGTGTTCACAGTACTTCAAACCCGATTACCAAGACAAATAATTATATATAAAAATAATGGAACGAATGTACTGTGTAATGTAATATAATGAACTCTCATCTGAGAACAGTACGTTCTTCCATTCCTCTACAGTCCAGTCAGCATATTCTCACGCAAAAACAAATTAGCGACAACGTAACGGTCATTTCGATTCGAAGTGCATCGTTGTCGGCTTTGACCTGACTTGCGGGTGTATTAGTCTGTCTCCGACTTCAAAAAAGAGGTTCTGTGTTTGAACATACAAGTAGTACTAAATAAATATGTATAGTATAAATAAACTTCGATAGAAGTTTCTTGAATAATTAAACCGCTTTTTTAGATAAGTTTTATTTCTCACATTATAAGTTTTAAGTCGGTTTTATGTTTTAAAAAAATAGCTATAATATTATTTTTTCATTACCAATACAATTTCCAACCAAAACGGACCGTAATAGAAGTTCCGTAAGATATTTCGCACCCGCTTTGTTAATATCCTAGGAATTTAATATAGCGGAGAGGGGCCGTTCCGTCTTACGCCCAACTCATAATACAATACCTCTAAACGCATTTCACACTTCCAATTTAACGCCAAAGAATTGGTCGGTAGCCTGTATAGCTTACTAACAGTACAGTCGTGTGATAAATTTAAAAAAAAAACGAATAATTTATTTTGTTTATCTAAACGAACTTGGTCAGTATTTGCCTTATATAAGCTATTAAAATATTTATTTATAATCACACCATAAATGCTTTTTTAATTAAAACGTATTTTTATTAAGAAGGTAGGTATTATACAAAAGTCGAAAGTTGCTCTCTCTAGAAGGCTACCAATGATAACATATTCCATATTGGTATAATAAATGCGAAAGTAATGTTGTCTGTTACGCTTTCATGCCTAAATCACTTGATTATTTTTATAAAAAAATCCTTAAGGGGTTCAACTTTTTCAGTGGTACAATGTGGTATGGAAGTTCGTTATTGAAAAATTATTATACCACGTGGATAAAAATAGTTACAATGTAACAAATTACAATAATATAGTTCTGTAATTGATAACTCTTCATCTCATTCAGGTAGTAGAGCAAATGGTTGGGTATTAACAAGAAAACTCAAAGCACATTACTTTTTTAACAATTCTGCAGAAGAATATAAGTAAATGTAAACGATACTAATAGTCAGGTCTCGCATCTGCGATTACCAGCTTTTGTGTATATTGCTTAACCTTAATTATAAATGCCTTCAAATTTCAAAATGCTCTATATTTCTTAGATTTTTAGATTTGCATAAAGCTTTTGTCCTCGTCTATACCAATATCCAGTCTATTGGATTGCATTCCAAATCACCCGGAGGGCGTGAAGAGCATCCAGGCAAGTTATTCCCTAACCTAGATTAAATTATAACGCCGGGTTTTGTTCATTATCGTCTTGACTCTCGAGCGAGTCACTCGAGCTTACGCCATCACGTAGTCTTAAAAAATGTCTCGTGTATAAATACAAAATGCGCGCGAAATTTGTTGCTGCTGTGTTTTCGACATTATTAAGTTGTCATTTATCGTTTTCAATTTATGAAAGACCAGGTAATTTTGTATTTCAAACTTAATGAACAAACGAATTATGATCGAATCTAAAAATAAAGACTACAACAGCTATATGTAGAATTTCTAACTTATTCCCCTGAACACCACAACAAAAGATGTTTAAATCAGTTCTGAAATTTACTTCTTCAACCTTAGCGCAACAATTAGCCGAAAGTGAAGCTGTATTAGACCCTAATGGTGATCTGCTGTTAAAATGGAGAGTTAACTATATAATTCAGAAGATTCAATTCGAAATAGTCTTATCAGAGAGAGCGCCAGCATTTGATTGGTTTGCTATTGGATTTTCTGATAGAGGCGAACTGAAAAATTCGGATGTCTGTGTACTATGGACGGATTACAAGGGCCTGGATCACTTTGAGGTACGTGGTTTCATTATTAAGAGGGGACGTAACGCCAAGAGACTGATCCTGTCTATCCCTTTGCAGCAAAATGTGAAGTAAAAACTTATTTGATTAATTACTAGCAAACTAGATTGTAGAATTATAAAAGTGTAGCATAGTTCGGCTACAAAGTGATTTGCATATATAATATTCCCTATAACAAAAGGGTTTAGTAACAACTACTTTTAGAGGTTTTATGCTTTTACTCTATCAAGAAATTTTTATAAATTTATGTTTCCGCTATAAACACTAAAATGCAATATAGTTTTCTTATTTTGAATAACAGCTTTTTGTGCTTTGAAAATCACGTTTAGTGCGAGTTACAGTAAAATATAATATTCAACCTAATACTAACCTTTTTTTTTATATCGGATTTGTAAAATGTTCCTAAATTAAACTTAGATCTTACGCCGCCACCGAAAAAACCTGTTACTGATGTATTGTTCAGTTAATCTATACTAATATTATAAAGAGGAAAGATGTTTGTTTGCATTGAATGGGCTCCAAAACAACTGGAACGATTAGAAAGTTCTTTCAACTACGGAAAGCTACATATTGTGCGGGTGACATAGGATGTAATTTCTCGAGCGAAGTCGCGCGAAATGAAAAAATTAAATAGTTTTGAAAACTATTTTTATGTATTCCCCATCACAGTAGTACGACTCGAGAGACTCGAAAAACGCTCGCCCGAAATTGATTCATATATAATATCTATCACACTCTCGGCTCGCTCTCGCCCATTTCTCGAGTCTCTCGAGTTTATCATGCTGCGCAGGCTGTTCCTGTTTACATAAAAATTTACAAAAAATGTAATAACCATTTTTCATTAGGAAGTTAATCGGATAAAGGTTTTATTTCATCAAAACTAATGTTGTGTAAGGGATATGCTTGACTTTGTATTTACAGAATAGCAAAGCTATGGCCTTGGAAACAATGACGCATAATGACAGACCTTTGAGAATGTCAATATTAAGTTTAAGACATTTGATGATTACAGGATATGCATGCAGACGCATATGGCAAACTATTACCTGATAAGCAACAAGACTGCGAAGGTTTTCATTTGAACAGCCAGTCTAGAAGTATTATATTCGAGCGTTCCTTTGACACTTGCGATAAAGACGATTATGTTATTGAGGTATAATATTCACATTTTTTTTTTCAAAATCTTCAAAGAAATATCACACATTCTCATTTATTTTGATACTTTATTCCCCTACACTCTAAAGAATGTTAAAAAACTCCACATTTTATAAAATGTGGAGTTTTTTAGCATTCTTTGCTAATGAAGGTATATTAATTATGAAACTACGTTATCTAGTAATTTCCACTACCAGTCAATAGCGGCTGCTTATTTTTCGTCTTATTTTAAAAAATGCTGAATTTCCTTTGTCTGAAGTCCAGCGAATTTGACGATTATTTTCCAACATTATGTAATGGTTTTAACATGAATATAACCCTCGATAATAATATGTAGTTGTTTATTGATCTTCAATGTTTCCAAATGTTGGAATTACGCGTCTGATTATTTGTAAGCGATCATTTAGAATTCTGTTAATGATAAATATTATAGTTAGAGAAAGAGATATAAAAAAATAAACAATTGATTATGTTATACAAGATGGCTAATCTTGTTTTCTATATTACAGGATGGTACAGTCCACGTGGTTTGGGCACGGGGCACCGATAAATTGTTTTCATCAAAAGGCTTATGTTTGACTGCTACATCTTCTAAAGACCATGGATTCATAAGAGTCCGACTGTTGACGTCGCCTAAACAACCTAAAGCGTTAGGTCAAGAGTTACGCGTCACTAATAAAAATTTGAAAGTACCGAGAGATGATACCACGTATTGGTGTAAAGTGTTTAAACTTCCCGATTATGTAATACAACGTCCACATCATATAATACAAGTAAGCTTGATAAAATGCCATATATTTGTATTAAAGATATTAGTAAAAGCTTAAATGTTGGTAAAACAAAGTAATTCGGGTAGATAACCTTAAAATGCCTATATGCTAATTGCTTTGGATATGACTCGATATTCGAAGTTTTAAATTTCTCTGGAGTTTTAATAAATAAAGTCTTATTAGGCAAATTGTTTTAAAATTCAAAGAAGATACCAGACCGGGGAATGTGACTCGGAACCATGGGAGTATATTTAAAGGAAACTTCCATAGCCAGGCCTGCAGCTAGAAACTCTTCAGGGAGGCATATAACTCTTCAGGAAGGCTTAACTCTATGACATTTGGTGATAATTACCAAAATTTTTTGTTAATGAAGTCGTCAAATTAGTAAACGTAATATTTATTCCAAAGCTATCAATTTTTTTGTCTGTGATACAATTTCTTCTCTAAACGATAAACATTTTTTTTCAGTTTGAATCCACTATTACCAAAGGTAATGAAGGTTTGGTTCATCACATGGAATTATTCCATTGCGATACTGACCCCAACTTAGACATACCACTCTATGAAGGTAATTGTTTCGCAAATGACCGGCCTGAAGTAACGCGTCGTTGTTCAAAGGTAAATATTCGTATATAAATAAATGTGATCAATAATAAATAATAAATACAAATTTATACATAATTTAAATAGAAAACACCCAGACACAGAACAAACATAATTTTTTTACACAAAAATGTTTGTCCTGGGTGGAGATCGAACCCACGACTCTCGGCGTAATATTAGGAACACTACCACCGCGCTACTTGTTGAAGAAAAATATTATTTTCTTTTAGGTCTGCTTTTTAGGCTTCCGTAGTAAACGAGGGAGGAATCCTTATAGTTTCGCTGTCTGTTCGTCCGTCCGTCCGCGTATTTTCTCACAAACTATTGGTACTAAAAAGTTGTAATTTGGCACGAGTATACACAATAATTACGTCGAGAACTTTCTTGACCACTTGGTAAAGTAAAATTTTCCACAAATATTTTTTATGGTATTTTCCCTACATATAAAGTGGACATGGTAATTTATTTTTTCGTCTTTCATATAGTGTAGGGCATCGTTGGATAGGTCTTTCAAAAACATTGAAAGTGTGGAAAGGTTTTTCTATTTAGTAAACCATTTGTGACTTATTAAGTTTTAAAGAGCAAATTTTCGTTAGCGTCTAGCGGTCCCTTCCTCCATTAACTAAACGATCACTGGTAAAAATTCAAACGTTACGGCAGTAGTACCTATATAACGAAATTAAAAGGAAAACCATCACACTTAAATTGATTTTACAAGTTTACGAGTAATAGTCGACCAATTGTATTTAACTCGAAAATTTCTCTCTTTCTCTCTCTCCATTCAAAATAGAAAACGTGATTTTCTTTACTTATAATGGATAATAGTACGGAACCCTTGAGTCCGACTCGCAATTATTCCAATCATCCATTTTTTATTTACAGGTTAAATCTGCATGGGCTATGGGAGCACCGCCTTTTGTATATCCAGAAGAAGCTGGTTTACCAATAGGAGGACCTCACGCAAATAAATACTTAATGTTAGAAGTGCACTACAATAATCCGGAGATGAAAACTGGTAAATACTACTAGTGACATGTTTATAAAGCGGGAATTGTATCTAATTTGTCGCCACACGTAAGGTGACAATGGGCTGATTGAATAATGTAATGTGCGCAGCGACACGTGGGGTAGGTTAGATATAATTCCCGCTTTAGATCAATGAGAGCCATAACACATATTTACATCCTTTTCATATGTTTTTTATAAAAGTTTTTAGATCTTTTTCTCCGCTGCTACTATGATTGTGTTGTATATTTTTCTATCATAGATTGGGTAGATAGTTCCGGTATAGTGGTTTATATAACTCCCAATCTCCGCCGGTATAATGCTGCTGTAATGGAACTCGGACTCGAATATACTGATAAAATGGCTATCCCTGGAGGACAGACTGCGTTCCCGCTTACTGGCTACTGTATACCTCAGTGTACTGGAGTGGTATTTATATGAATAATAATATATTTATTTAGTTAATATCTACATATTCTTTTTTATGTGCCTAGGTGTAACATGGCAAACTAGAGAGACTCGAAAATATAATACTGTCAGTCTCGCTCTCGCCCATTTCTCGAGTTCCTCGAGTTCAGCGTGCCTCCTAGATGCAGGCGTGCTCAGTTTAAAGACCTCTGACTTTTTCAAATAATTTAACGTGTCAAGTGTCAAGTAAAAGGTGGTTGTTTCTTGTCATAATTTTTAAAACAAAATAAATATTAGCTCTAGTATTATGGGATTATCTCAAAAAATCCGGCCAAGTATGATTCAATTTCGCAAGCGTATGATTCCGTACCGGTAACGAGCAAAAACTCACGTTTGTTGTATGGGAGCCTCCTTAAATATATATTTTATTCTGGTTTTTAATATGTTGTTGAAGTGCCAACGTACATAATTCATCCGTGAAAATTTCAACTGTCTAACTTTCACGGTTCATGAGATACAGCCTGGCAACAATCAGACAGCGGGGACTTAGTAATAGGGTATCCCGTTCTACCCTTTGGGTACGAAATCCTTTTGAGTAACCCACCCATCCACACTGCGCCTGCGAGGTGAATCATGATGGCCCTCTCCCCTATTTGATTTGATTCAATTACATCTATAGGGAAGGCATGATCCCCAACTACGTTGATAGGCCCGATGATGAGTGTTGTTGTTGTTTTAAATATGTTTTATATGTTTTAGGGCTTGCCTCCCCATGGTATTATAGTATTTGGCAGCCAACTACATACTCATTTGACTGGCATCGCCGTATGGACACGTCATTTCCGACAAGGCATTGAGTTACCAGTTCTAAACAAGGATATGCATTACTCAACGCATTTTCAAGAAATACGAATTTTACATCGACCTGTTAAAGTTTTACCGGTAACAAGAAATCTTCAGTGTCTATTTATTTTATATTGACCGTTTTCCCGCAACTTCGTCGCATAAATTATAGCCTATGTCAACCACGTACGATGTAGCTTCCTGTAGGTGAAACATTTCCGGAGCTTGTTTGCATCAAACAGACAATCAAACCTTCTGTCTTTATATTATTATAGATATTATGAAATTTGATATGTTTACAAGAAAACTGGAATATTATTTTATGTAAAAAAAATATTTGTGATTTATAATTATTTTCTAGATAATTTGTATCATAACATAATTGTAAAATAATAATCAGCGCAGAACAAATAAAATTTAATACCAAAGATGAAATAATGTAACAACTACCAACCATTTTGAATTCCGAAATTTTTGGCGCGTTTCTTGTGATGACACTGTCTATGGTTATGGATATGAAATTTTAGATCAAAATCGGTTTTGTGTAATTGATTAACAACTAATCGATTTTCACTAAAAATAACTATGTATATCAAATTGGCGAAATAAATATTTTTGTTGTTTTGCTACATAAAACATTGATGTTGATTGATGATGTTGATTCTTGCATTGATGTTATATTTTTGTAACTGCGACATCCCTATAAGTAGAATATGTCGTCACATCCGCTTTCACAATAGCATTGCGTCTGAGTATTTTAAATTTACCGCATTAGATTTTAATATTATTGTTGTTTTATTTCAAAGGGCGACTATTTGGAAACTACTTGTTTATACAACACAATCGATAAAACAAATGCAACAATAGGAGGACACGCAATAACTGATGAAATGTGCGTTAATTATATGCATTATTATCCTGCGACAGATCTCGAAGTTTGCAAAAGCGCGGTATCCAATAGCGCGTTGGAAAATTATTTTAAATTTGAGAAACAGTAAGTGCCAAAACAATCAAGTTTATACAGCTTAGCCTGTGGTAATATATTTTTTTATTTAAACGTTCAACGTTTTAACTCAAAATTATACCACAATTACGAACTAAAACTGTACGAAACTCATACAATATCAGTCCTCCGTCTACAAAGTTTCTCTATAAATCAACTTAGATAATTTAATTTCCGAATGTTTATGATTTTTTTTTATTACAGATGGGATAACATGACCATATCTTACAAGAGCTCACCTCGCGAAAACTATTTAAGCATCAAACCTTGGACTCCATTACGTGCTGATGCATTAAATGAGCTTTATACAGAATCCCCAATATCAATGCAATGTAATAAGTCAGATGGGAGTCGATTTCAGGTATAACAGTTTTCCATTTTATACATAAGTATCAAACAAGACACAATTTTATTCCTTTCCACTGGCAAAGTCGGAATTATTTAATAAATTCTCAAAAACAAATCGATTCAAAAAATGTATTCGATCTTTATTCTGTATGGCAGTTTGTGATGATTACATTCATCTGAATCATAAATTAATATATATAAATAAATATAACTATTACTGCTACTGTTGCCAAAATTCTTTATTGGTACAGTCAACAATATTACAATATAAAAGGGTAGATAGGTCATGCCAGTAGTAATACGATGTTAAAAATTTGTCCCCAGTATACACGCACGCACATGGCACGATACTCTCCAATTATTTATAGACTATACAGAGCAGACGTATAATGATTTAATGCATTTTTAATGCCTACTTTTACCTAAACGAGTTAAAGACCTCGATCAACAGTTCAACTTAAAAATGTTGATGGCTGACAATGCTCTATTATTTATCATTGTCGTTAGTGTATATGTATTTGCCCGTGTATAAATAATGAAACTTTTCAAGTGATAAAATAAACCTGTCATTGATATATAATATGTATAACACGAGCGCTTCGATGGACTCAGAGTATTTTGTAGCTCCGGAGTTTGGTTTCGATGCTCCGAATTCAAACCCCGGTATTGCGGAGTTTCAGTCGTTCAGATTTTCAAATAAATGTAGGGTTAAGATAGGCACTAAACTCGAATTGTCCGTTCTGTTACTTACATTATCTTTGACAGATTTGTTTCACAATTTGTAACCGGGGTATTTACTCTTTCTTTACAATATTTATTTTTCCGATTAAAATGCAAATCAATTAAAGATGTATACATACGAATGAAATATAACCCCTTGATCTTTAGTTGACTTACTTATGTAGTTACTACAGTGTCGCATAACACAGGATGGCATTTTAAAAATATGGTATATTAGCTTTTGCCGGCGACTTTGTCCGCGTGATATAGTTACTTTGGGCATCATATTTTCCAAAAACGCTGTTGTTTTTTGAGCTCATGATGAAATTACCTTGATGTTTAAGTTCGAAGATAGTATAACAAAATACCAATGAATGTCCAATATGTTTCAGCACTTTATCTTTGAAACTTTAGAGAAATTAATCCAATTCAATGCAATTTGAAAAAAAAAAAAACAGTTCTGAAGTTTACACAAAACTTAATCGAAAACGTAATCTACGCAAAATTCTTTGAAAGAAAAGTTACCGCAGATTACTTTAGAATAAACGCGTCATCTAGAACACAGCGCCATCTATTGGGTGTTACCGCAGATTACTTTAGAATAAACGGTATCTAGAACACAGCGCCATCTATTGGGTGTATTTGCAACCTAGATGTGAAATTTGAAATTTGATAGAAATCGGTTCAGCTCAAATATGCTGCTATTTTAAGGTGACACTTTTTGAATGCAAGTAACCTATCTACCCTTTTTTCATTGGGTGGGTACATTAGTTTATTTAAATTATCTAAACGTTGTATTTTTATGTTCTTAATGTATTTTTTTTTCAGGGCGATTGGGAAGGTATATCTATACCAAGAATCAAAGTTAAATTACATGTTCTAAACAGGCATTGTCAAATGGGCTACTCTAACGAGAGTTAAATGATGTGCAACTTAAATTATTAATCATATAAAATTCTATCTTATAGTAAAGTGTTATTATGATGCATTTATTATATGGTAATACTAATGCCGGCCATGGCGTTTTATCTTACTATAAATTAACAGTAACAATAAAATTAAAACTGTACTTCAGCTTAACTTAAAACGGAGACATATATATTATATGTTGTAGTTGTTTTTATCAATACTCTTTGTTTTGTATGTCACACGTGGCGTAATTTTAATTTATAAAACTTTTTCTTAGAACCTGGAAATTGTGTTGTTCTTACAAAATACTGTAGCAAAATTATGTAACTGTCGATACCTACAGGTGTGTAATTACACTTTTTTCTAATACTTGATATCGTATGCTAAGAATCTGATATAAGTAGTGTAACATTGCTCATGACAGAATAATATTTCCGCGTGTATTAATAATTATATAGTTATTTGTTAATTATATAATTGAATTAGTATGTATTGTTTGTTTTTTTATTTATACAGGATGTTTGGAAATACATGTATAATCCTCAAATAGGGCCATATCACCTAGCACAAATAACACAATTAATATGTCAAAAAACAATTTCATGTTAATTGAGTTTTTCATACAAATATTTGATCAATTTGTTTTCAATTAATATGCTATAACCCTGAAAGCTTATACGTGCCGTCCCGGCGTACTCGCTCTCTCTCTTTCTCTCATTACCTCTCACTCTCTCGTTTCCTAGAATACACTTTGATGTCGCCGACGCACGTACTCGACTTCGTTTATTTGTAACAAAATAAACATACTAACACAGTTTTCAGATATTTTACAATGAATAGTTCCATAATTTGTCATTTTCTAATTAAAACAATTTAAGATTAAACAAGTAAACACGTAGAGGCAGCGTTCTAATCACTCTTTCAGCTCTCAGTTGTAAACATTACCTACACTTCACCTCCACTTTATCAGTCCAGGGTCTCGATATACTGGCCATCGCGTAAAACACATATCTACATTCGACTCGACACAAACCGTGTTACTCTTTTGGCAACTCTGATCGGGTCGTAGGCTTGCTTGTCGTCAGGTAGTAAAACTCCGTAGAAGGTGGAAGGATGGAATGTTTTATTTACAAATCTTACAGCTACTTATACTAAAACGTAATATAATATTATCCAATTGAAAGTCCCTAAAATTATAAATACAAACTTAACCAATAAGAAATGCACATTTACAAGTTAAACCAATTACAAGAAAGCTACAATATTTACAATGGAAGGGGAAAGTGACGAGAGGAAAGGGAAAGGGACTGAGACGCGGGACGAGGGATCGTGTGACGTGGCGTATAAAGGCTGGCATAGAGTTAACGAGATCCTTTTTGCCAGGCGTCGGGTGAGCGTGCGGGTGACTGCGTTGCGGAAGGTTGACATGTGGCGCGCAGCTGTTGACACGCACTTGTTGCGTTGCTTTCTCCTTTGTTTCATACGGACAGTGACGTTGAAATAGTTCTTTTAAGAGCTCCTTATTTCATTGGCGGATATACAAATAAATTTTCCTATAACTGATGTAGTCTTATTACTGTCTTACTGGTGGTGTAGCCACAGTACTCCCCTTCAAGTGAAACGTACCGGCAGCTTGACGACACGGCCAGATCTAGTTCGCTTCTCTGCTGGCTGTGACGTCACGTCGTTGTTTCTTACACTTGAGTCTGGTAAAGGCATTGATGGTAATGTTGTGGTGGTATTCGTGCTTTGATGTGGTAATGTTATGAAGGTATGATTATGGTAACTTAATTCAGGCGTATGTTGGTAATTTGTATCTGATGCATAACTCTCCTCTATGATGTATGCAGGCTTCAATCGGTCGATGGAGATAGCTGCTTGACGATTTGGTAACTGGATCGTAAACACTTTATCTGTGCGCTCCACGACTCGATAAGGACCTTCATATGGTTGTTGAAGTGGTTTTTTTACTGCGTCGACTCTGACAAACACGTGCGTGCATTTTTTTAGATCTTGGTGCACGAACATGTGTTTGTTACTATTGTGATGCGTTGTGGTGGAACGTGGCTTGTTATTGTTTATGTGTTCCCGTAACTTTTCTACGTAAGTATAGTTCATGGCTGTTGAGTTGGTGCAGTTGTTTTGAAAGAAATCGCCAGGTAGCCGTAAGTTATAGCCGTAAGTTAATTCAGCTGCGCTGACGCCGGTGTCGCTCCGTAGAGCGGCTCTTAGTCCGACTAACACGGTTGGTAGTTCGTCGATCCAAGAGCTTGTGTTGCTAAGTTTGGTTCGCAGTGCGGTCTTCAGTGTGCGATGCCAGCGTTCGACGATGCCGTTGGATTGCGGATGATATGGTGTTGTACGATTTTTCTTTATTCCCATAATCTTCATTAAGTTGGTAAAAAGAAAGCTTTCGAATTGACGACCTTGGTCGCTGGTTAGTGTTGTTGGACATCCGAAACGCGAAATCCAATGTTTGTAAATAACGTCAGCCACAGTATCCGCTGATATGTCATCGGTAGGTATTGCTTCGGGCCATCGTGTGTGTCGATCGATCATCGTGATGAGGTAACGTTCACCTGTCGCAGTTGTAGGTAGTGGTCCAACGATGTCTACGTGTATGTGTTGGAAGCGGTCGGCTGGCGGGAAGGTTTCTATATTCGAAGAAGTGTGTCGATTAATTTTGCTTTTCTGGCAGTTTATGCAGTTTCTAGCCCAAACGCCAATGTCAATATTCATTGACGGCCAGAAATATTTTTTTGTTATAAGTTTGCGAGTTGTGCGGATTCCCGGATGACTAATGTTATGAATGCTGTTAAATATGTCGAGGCGGTATTTTTCGGGTATATATGGACGGGCGTACAACGTTGAAGTCTCGCAATATAAATCGACATCTGTGTTTGGAACGTTCACTTTCTTTAGTAGAATGTTGTCTTGCTTCAATAGGGGTGCAATGGTCGCGTCTTTGTCTTGCGCAGTGGCTAGTTCCGCGTAGTCTATTGTTGTTGGGCAGGCTATTGTTTCTATCCTGCTGAGTGCGTCGGCGACTACGTTTTGTTTACCGCTCACATGGCGTATGTCTGTGGTAAATTCGCTGATAAACAAAAGCTGTCTTGTCCTACGCGGTGTTTCGGATGAGGATTGTGACTTTGCCATGGCGAATGTTAAAGGCTTGTGGTCGGTGAAGATTATTAGGTTCCGTCCTTCGAATGACTTTCTAAAATGCTTCACTGCCATGTATATCGACAGTAGTTCTCGGTCGAAAGTTGAATACATTTTTTGTGCCTCTGAGAACTTTTTTGAATAATACCCGAGTGGTTGCCACTTTTTATTTATGTATTGTTGTAGTACGGCTCCTGCGCTATTGTCCGATGCGTCACAGAACAAAGCAAGTGTTGCATAATGAGAGGGATGAGCGAGTAAAGTAGCGTTTATGATGCTATTTTTACACGCTTCAAATGCTTTTGTTGCCTCATCGTTCCAGTCGATTATTGTTTTGTCCTTCTTTTTTACGTTGTGCAAATACGCGTTTAGAGGGGCTTGAATGGAAGCGGCGCTCGGAATGTGTTCTCGATAAAAGTTTATTATACCGAGAAATCTTCGTAACTCTTCTATTGTTTTCGATTTTGGATATTCGACAACTGCGGTTACTTTTTCTTGTGGTGGTTTGATGCCATCTTTGGATACTGTGTAACCCAGAAAAATTACTTCTTGTTTACCGAAGTTACATTTTGCCGGATTTATTGTAATTCCATTGTCTTCTAGTCGTTGTAAAACGGTGCGTAGATGTTTTCGATGTTGAATTTGATTTTCTGATGCCAATAATAAATCGTCAACGAAAGGGAACACGAAGTCTAGACCTCTGAGTACTTCGTGTATGTATCGTTGGAATGTTTGTCCGGCATTCTTCAAGCCTGGGCACATGCGCGGAAATTCAAATAGTCCCATCGGTGTAATTATAGCTGTTTTTTCGATATCTTCTTCCCGAACTGGCAATTGTTGGTAAGCTCTGTTGAGGTCAATCGTTGAGAAAATTGTTTTCCCGGCCAGTTGATATGTGAAGTCTTTGACTCGCGGTATAGGGTAGCGGTCGGGCTTAGTGATATCGTTAAGTCGGCGGTAATCTCCACACACTCGAATGTCACCGTTTTTCTTTGGCACGATGTGAAGAGGGGATGCCCATGGACTTTTGCTAGGTCTGCATAAGCCTTCCTGCATCATGTTCTCGAATTCTTTCTTCACTGCCTGATAACGATGTGGAGGTATTGGACGTGCACGGCAATGAATAGGTGGGCCGGTTGTTTCGATGTAATGGTGCACGTTGACTTTAGGGTTGAGATGCATCGACGTTATCCGCGTTGTGCCGGGAAATTCCGCTAGGATATCGTGGTATGACTGTGATATGTCAATACTACGTATCGTAGGAACATCGATGGTGCATATTGGTGCACTGAGCTTGAAGTTGGTGACGCCATCAATAAGTTTTCTATTTTTGAGGTCGACGATAAGCTGGTGATGCTTTAAAAAGTCGGCTCCCAGTATTGGTTTTGATACGTCTGCTACTATAAATTTCCATTTGTATGGACGGCGCAGGCTGAGATCGAGTTCAATCGTTTTTTCGCCGTATGTGGGTATAACAGTGTTATTTGCTGCATACAATTGAAATGGTAATGGCGTTGTTGGTGAGCCTTTTGTTCGAGGTAGCACCGAAATGTTCGCTCCGGTGTCGACCAGGAAACTTAAATTCGTTTTCTTGTCGGTAACGAATAGGCGGTATGAATGTTCGGGAACGCCGGTTTCCGCCGCTGCCAGCGTTCGTTTTAGTTTTCCGACTTCTTGTAATATGTGCAGGGTGTCGTGCATCGTTTTGCTTGAGATCCGAAGCGCTGGTGGTAAAAGCAAAACGGCGATGGTGATCGGCTGTTTTGTGTCGAACGATGGCGGGAGCGAGATGGGGATCTGTCTCTGAAGCGGTTGCGTGAGTGAGACGGGAATGCAGTGTAACATCGCCACAACATTCGATAGCGAGAAGACAAGCATCGTAACAGCCATCGATAGCAAGACGAACTGCAATAAGTTTCAACAGCAAGTAACGAGATGGCGCTGTACCCAATACAAGCAACATAAATTAATAACTAGAAGACATTTAGAACAAAGAAACCTACATCGCACAGAATAAGTTACATTACCAATTAACATAAATAGAACGTCCAACCTACATCGGTTGGACCGCGGTCCCCGGGCTAACAACACCTAGCTCGGAGGGAGACAATTATCCTTTAGTCTCCCTGACCAGTTGTCTCCATCACC